CTATCAACAACTCATTATGTATAAAAAAAAAACACCTGTCCACAGGTTTCTTCCATTCAAACCTCACCACCATGAGCAAGACCAAAGAGCTGTCAAAGGACATTAGGGGCATGATTGTAGACCTGCACAAGGCTGGAATAGGCTACAAGACTATCAGCAAGAAGCTCGGTGAGAAGGAAACAACTGTTGGAGCGATTATGCGCAAATGGAAGGAATACAAAATAACCATCAATCGCCCTCGGTCTGGAGCGCCGTGCAAGATTTCGCTTCATGGGATCAGGATGATCATGAGAAGAGTGAGGGAACAGCCCAGGACTACACGGGAGGAGCTTGTGAATGATCTCAAGAAAGTTGGGACCACAGTCACCAAACAAACCATTGGTAACACCGCCATGGATTGAGATCCTGCAGCGCCTGCATGGTCCCCCTCCTCAAGAAGGCACATGTACAGGCCCGTCTGAAGTTTGCCAATGAACAGCTAAATGGTTCAGAGAAGGATCGGACCGCATTGAGGGGCCAATGGACGGGGCCATGTATTGTAAAATCTTGGATGAGAACCTCCTTCCCTCAGCCAGAACACTGAAGATGGGTTGTGGATGGGTCTTTCATCATGACAATGACCCAAAACATACCGCCAAGGCAACAAAGCAGTGGCTCAAGAAGAAGCACCTTTCGGTCATGGAGTGGCCTAGCCAGTCTCCAGACCTTAATCCTATAGAAAATGTATGAAGCGAGCTGAAACTTCAAGTTGCCAAGCAACAGCCAAGAAACCTTAAGAATTTAGAGAAGATCTGTAAATAAGAGTGGACCAAAATCCCTCCTGAGATGTGTGCAAACCTGGTAACAAACTACAGGAAATGTCTTACCTCTGTGCTTGCCAACAGTGGTTTCTCCACCAAGTACTAAGTCATGTTTTGCTCGGGGATCAAATACTTATTTTACTCACTGAACTGCAATTTAATTTATAACATTTGTATCATGTGTTTTTTTCTGGATTTTAGGTTGATATTCTGTCTCTATCATTTAAAATCCACCTATGATAAACATTATAGACCTTTAATTTCTTTATAAGTGGGCAAACTTACAAAATCTGCAGGGGGTCAAATCATTATTTTCCTCACTGTATATGGTATATCAATGGAAAGAACAAAGCACTATTAAAGTGACACTAAACTCAGAAGTTTGGCGGGTGGCTACTTTTATTCTCCATGGTCCCTGTGTGTGTTGTAAAGTTGTCACTGCTCCAAGCTTACTCTAATCTTACAAAAGTATCCACCCTCCAGAAGGAAGGACAGTGTCAGCATGAATTCAGAGATGATTTGATGATCTACAGCTGAGTGATACACAAATAAGATACATCTTTGTTAATACTTAAGGTACTTGAATGTATTTTTAAAGATTTAACTCCTGAGTTTAGTGTCACTTTAAGGGGTACAGAAAATCTGAGATTGCCATGCAGTAATGTCAGCATTTGACATCCACTTCCCCTGTTTATGGCAGTGTTTCTCAGCTATGTATCCCCTTATGAAAGGCTATGTTAACTGACAGTGGCATATTCTCATTAGGGTTATTTGGGTGGCTGCCTGGGGCTCAAGGCTCGTAGGACGTCCTTGTCTACCCATGCCACTGTTGCCTCTCCTTGCTTGTATCTCATACAGTGAGGTTTTCCCTCACTGCCCCAATACCCGGTCAAAAACTCTGTGAGTGGCTTTTCAGTTTGACATCATTGAAGAAGCTCAGAAAACAGCTTCTATATAAATACCACCTACACGCAGCATTTGTAGGCCTCAATGATGAATACATTGTAACTAGAATATTTTAAAAATGTATTTAGACTAATTATTTTCTGTGCAAAGAGGTGTCCTTTGATCTGCACATAATGTCTGTTGGAGCATCTTCACATCTGAGAAAAAACGTTTTAATCTTTTAGTAAAACTGTTCCTATTAAACCCCTTATTGTTTTTAATTGGTATAGAGTGGAAAGCAGTTGGAACCCCTGTCAGGGCTTGTTTCCCTGCCTGTAAGCTATTATTGAGTTCACTCTCTCTAATTGTCCTCATCAGCAATAGTGATGTGCGGGGGTTTGGTGTGATTGGGCAGGGAGGGGGGTGTATCAGTCACCAGGGATGTCCCTAAACTTTGAGGTTGGGGTGTGGGTGCATGTTGCGGGGGGAAGGGGTTGCTGGAGGTGCACAGTACATCTGGTTCCGACCCTGTCCGGCATCCCACCCAGCTAAATGACGTCACTGTCTGGCAGGATGCTGGACAGAGCATCACAGGTCACTTAAGGTGTCCACACACCTTACAATTTATCTGCAGATTTTCTGTGGTCAGATGGAAAAAGTGCAACAGATTGGCCCAGGTGGAGATTACTCCATACACACAGATAAGTGTAGATGGAGGAATCTGTTGCACCTTTTCCATCTGACCACAGAAAATCTGCAGATAAATTGTAAGGTGTGTGGGCAGCTTTAGACCTTTTAGCAACCTGGAACACTATGGCTGGAAATGGGGCAGTGGGCACACCTTCTGACCCAATGAAATGCTGCATGAGGCAATCGGCTCAGGCTGCTTCATTATAGGGATGACCCTATCAGTCACATTTCAGGAGAAATGGGTTCTCACCATCACTAATCACCAGTGTCATTGGGAATGAATGTGAGGGCAAATCTAAAATTTTGAGCTGCCACCAGAACCGGAATAGGGGGGGAAATCTTTCAATGGGGACACTTGTTCCCATGGCACCTGTCCAAGAAGGGATTTCCCTCACATTGGAGATTATTATTGTTATACAGGATTTATATAGCGCCAACAGTTTGCGCAGCGCTTTACAATATAAGGAAGACATTACAATCACAATACAAATCAAGACAACATGGTAAGGAGGGCCCTGCCCCCTAGGGATACACTATATTGCCAAAGTATTAGCCTTTACACGCACATGAACTTTAATGGCATCCCAGTCTCAAGGTGCCCATACACTGTGCGATTGTCGCAGGAAATCCCACAATCGTACGATAATCGCAAAGTTGCACGTCTTTTGTCTAAGGAGCATGTTCGAAAACCAGCCGAAAATCTTACGATTTTCGGCTGGTTTGTGGCATGCTCGGGAGACAAATGCCGAACGGGCCCGTTCAGCATTGCGGTCATTGGAAGCCCGCCCCTCAGCGGGCGGGCTTGCCATGATCGCAAGTACGATCTGCCTGTCCAAGATGGGCAGATCGTACGTTTTTTAAATTACTTTACAACCATCGCAACATCGCTAAGGTCTTGCGATAGTTGTAAAGTGTATGGCCACCTTTAGTCCGTAGGGTTCAATATTGAGCTGGCCCGCCCTTTGCAGCTATAACAGCTTAAACTCGTCTGGGAAGACTGTCCGCAAGGTTTAGGAGTGTCTATGGGAATGTTTGACCATTCTTCCAGAAGCGCATTTGTGAGGTAAGGTACTGATGTTGGACGAGAAGGCCTGGCTCGCAGTCTCCGCTCTAATTCATCCCAAAGGTGTTCTATCGGATTGAGGTCAGGCCAGTCAAGTTCCTCCACCCCATACTCGCTCATCCATGTCTTTATGGACCTTGCTTTGTGTACTGGTGCGCAGTCATGTTGGAACAGGAAGGAGCCATCTCCAAACTGTTCCCACAAAGTTGGGAGCACGAAATTGTCCAAAATGTCTTGGTACGCTGATGCCTTAAGAGTTCCCATCACTGGAACTAAGGGGACAAGCCCAACCCCTGAAAAACAACCCCACACCATTATCCCCCCTCCACCAAACTTTACACAACGCAGTCAGGAAAGTACCGTTCTCCTGGCCACCGCCAAACCCAGACACGCCCATCGGATTGCCAGACAGAGAAGTGTGATTCATCTCTCCAGAGAACACGTCTCCACTTCTCTAGAGTCCAGTGGCGACGTGCTTTACACCCCTGCATCCGACGCTTTGCATTGCACTTGGTGATATAAGGCTTGGATGCAGCTGCTCGGCCATGGAAACCCATTCCATGAACCTCTCTATGCACTGTTGTTGTGCCAATTTGAAGGCCACACAAAGTTTGGAGGTCTGTAGCTACTGACTCTGCAGACAGTTGGCGACTTCTGCACACTGTGCTCTTCAGCATGCGCTGACCCTGCTCTGTCATTTTATGTGGTCTACCACTTCATGGCTGAGTTGCTGTTGTTCCCAGTTGCTTCCACTTTGTTATAATACCACTAACAGGTAACCGTGGAATATTCAGTAGCAAGGAAATTTCACGGATGGACTTATTGCACCGGTGGCAACCTATCACGGTACACTGAGCTCCTGAGAGCGACCCATTCTTTCACAAATGTTTGTAGAAGCGTCTGCATGCCTAGGTGCTTGATATACACCTGTGGCCATGGAGGTGATTGGAACACCTGAATCCAATGATTTGGAGGGTTGTCCCAATACTTTGGGCAATATAGTGTATATTGTCTTCCTTCTTTGAAGTCTGCCGGATATACGAAGTAAAGGGAAATAATGAAACACACAAGGCAAAAACAAACACCTGACAACAGTTTTACCCTCCTCTACTCTAACCAAAAGGAAACAAAAATGTTTTGTCTTTAGATATTCTTCTAATAGTCCGGCCTTCTTTATATGATTCTTAATAATTCCTTTCCTCAGGGAGTCTATCTCACCTAAAAACTGAACTTTCACTTTCAGCTCATGTCTTCACAATGAATGCCTTGTGTTTTGCCCCTCCCTTTAGATTGTAAGCTCTGAGGAGCAAGGCTCTCCTATGTTTTACTGTAACTGCACTGTCCCCCTTTATTTTGTACAGCGCTGCGTAAACTGTTGGTGCCATATAAATCCTGCATAACAATATTGACTAAAACTAATGATAAAGCGGCTGTGCCCCCATGAGAACCCCCCTGTACCCATAAGAAGCCCCCCGGGTCATGTGTGACATTAGTATGGTGGGGCTCTGTGTCAAGGAGAAGTGCTCTGTCACATCGCTCATCCTGTAGTGTGTCAGCCGTTGCTGGTGACAGGTGTCTGAGCTGCCATTGCAGGGCGGGCTGCGGGGCGGGTCTTGGCCGGGGAAGGTGGAGGCGGCCCGGGCCTCGTAGTCCCTCCGGACACAACAGAGCGCTGCTCGGCACCGCCATCATTATGGGGAACGCGATTAGCGGCGGCAGCGGGGATGAAGACGACCCGGGGATGGAGCAAGAAAACACCGGAACGGCAGCCGCTGACACAGCGCGGGGAGCCACAGGCCAGGAGAGTCAGGTTCAGCTGGGGATCCCCGGTGGCCCGTCCTCCCCGCTGCTGCTGCCGCCCTCTCCCGGGGTATTGCTGGAGCAGGCCCGGCTGAGGGAGGCGGCGGCCCGGTTAAAGGACGTGGGGGCTCCGGAGTCGGTGGTTTCCCGGCACCAGAGCGCCCTGCTCCGCTGGCTGGAGGAGAGATTGAGCCGAGGCGAGGAGGCGCTAAGCCGGGAACAGTTCATAGAGATGCTGGAGAGCCGGGCCAGCGGCCGGGAGGAGTGCGAGGAGGTAATGATGAGGGGGGTTACCTCGGCCTGCTATGGGCAATGCACAGCATTCACATAACCCGAGGACATGGCAGGAACTTTATACAACTCGTACAACAGGAAACACATTGGAAGATGGACCCTTCAACCTGACACCACACGTTCTCTGACCACCCTCCCCTTTAAGGAAGTGTGGAGGCTGCCATTACTAAGCTCTTCTTCTCAAACTGTCATGGTCACCCGGTGTTTTCACTCTTCTCTCTCTCATCCACTGCACAGCTATGCTAATCAGGAACTTCACTCTGCTGAATTTGGGAGCCTAGCATTTTCACAATGGCAACCTCCACATTTCTATTATGACAGGTTTCCCTCAACATGAGGGAGCACATGCTTTTCTTTGGACGTGTCCCCGATTTTCAGTGTGACACTTTTCTGCTACCCCATGTACAGTTTGCTATCTGAGCTCAAACACCTGGTTGTTGGTGTGCGTGTGCCCAGATAGTGCCAATCTGCTTGGTTGAGATGCCTTGAAGTGTGTTGTGTTTTTTTTTTTTTTTTAGAACTTTATTGAAACGTCACAAGTGACATTTCATTAGGTTCTATTGGCCAATGCAGTGTGGTTGTACTGCGTCTCAAATACTTTTTTTTTTTAAGCGCAAACCCCCAGAACGGAGTAGTGTGATTTGTCACCCCCCCCTTCATTCTACCTACTGGAATGAAGTTATACACATACCCACGCATTCCCTGAGCACAGGTTTGGGGTATTTTTTTTTATTTGTAATTCCCTTGAACTGATCTAAATACAATGTGTATATACTCATTTGTTAAAATTGAGCAGCATTTGGCAGCATAAAAATGAGAGATGCCTCTAAAAGTGATGTTTTATTTTTTCTGCCTGGGCATATCAGGCATAAAGCCCAATGTTTTTTTTTTGTGATGTATAGAAAGGTTAGTTACTGGAGATAAACCTAGGCTTTGTGAGAACCCAGTTCACGTGAGTTTGCCCAAGTCTGGCGGTGGCATGCCACTCCCATTTGTTGTGTATAGATGAGGGGCAGGCAAAGCGCCTGCCACCATGGATGTGGCTGGAAGGGGGTGTCAATAACATTCCTGAGAAGGCTTGGGCGAGCTTAGGTGAACTGGGTTCACAAAAATCTCAGGCTCTTCACTATTAGCAACTCTCTCAGTTTGTTATTGCTATTGTTGTCCCCCCTTTCTATCGGCATTCCTGGCCAGAACAGGAATGGAGGGGAAATCTTCTTGTGGGGACCCCTGTTCTGGTGACAACTGTCTAAATAAAAAAAAAAACTTCCTTTCACTTCCTGATGTGTACGCTAGACAGGATGTGAAGGGAAATAAAAAAAAGTGTTTTAAATCCTTCCCTACGCTGTAAAAAAATAAATAAATGGGGGGATTTAACCCGCAGGTTGTGTATCCTTCCGTTATGAAGGGAAGTTTTCTAGTTTCCTCATCCAGCTTTCGATTGTAATAACAACTGAAGAGATCAAGGCACCTCACCAGCATCAGTTTTTGTGGGAAACCGTGAAGTGATCATATCTGTTGGTGGTGTGTATGGTCAGTACTAGGGTTCAGCATGCACCTGCTGCTTCCTGGGCTGTCCTATAGGGTCCTATTGTCATCATGTTGCTGTATTACAATACCGAGGCTTTCTAAACATTCCATGTTGGCAAATGTTTTTGCTGCCCCCTTTTATGTTCCTTTGTCGTGGTGCTTCTTTTTTTGAAGCTCAGAGCATACTTGGGAGCCTTTTACATTGTTGACATAGGCTGTAATCTTCTCTGTATATATAGAGCTGTGTGAATGTGCCCACTAGTGTAACAGCGGTCCTTTATGGTGTATGAAAGTGACAGGTCTGTTGAATTCAGTTTTATTTTTGGCACGCCCTGTGCAGTGAATTGTTATTACGTATACACAGTCAGGTCCACTAAAGGCTGGCTATATATGTTGCAATCCGATTGTATAACCTCTTTTTAGGATGGGCATATGCCATACAATCTCATTGTAAAATCCCCTTTAAATGTATCAAAAATATGGAATAGAAGGCCCTACTTGAACTATATTTTTAGTTTGTTTCAACACAGACAGGGACTTGCACTATATAGTTGATGGTAGATCTAGAGGACATTGTTCAATCCTTTTATATAGTGTATGGTCAGCTTCAGATTGACCAAAACTATGTATGTCAATACATTCAGTTCAATGTGTATGCAGTCAGACAAGCCATTGTATTGCATAGGTATGTGCATTACTTCCTCTAGCTCTATCATCACATTGCAATGTGTGGCCTGATTTTCTTTCACAGCCCTGGGTGTAGTGCTAGATGCACATTTGTAGAAGGCCAAATACTGTCAATCAGCTACATGCTGATTTCAGGTTGAGCAAGATGAGTCAGAAAGCTAAGTGTTTGCAGACTATCCCTGCAAACAAAATAACTGACCTTTTGGGACCTATGTTTAAATATAACCTCTCTGCCCATATCATAATTTATATTATGCATTTGTGTGTTGTGGTGCTTTACATTTTGAATGGCACCCTAACGCACTGAGGCAACACATTGTTTTGGTGTGCATGGTTGCCAAAAATGGTCCGTTGTTTTGGTGCATTGGCAGCCCTTCCTTTTTTTTTTTTCTTCTTCAATTGGATTCCATAACGCAGCAGGTGTTAATACGCGAGGAAACACGCGTTCACACAACATACTAGGTTGCCAAGATATGAATGGGCCCTTTTGGATAGGTGAACTTTTTTTCAGGTGATTTGTTTACGTGTGTGACATTCAGACATTTATCTTTGTCTTGTTTGTAATACACTTCTAGGGTTCAGCAGAGCGTAGCTTTCTGTTATTAATGTTGGGTATGTTTTACTGTTGCTTTGGCAGTGCGTTGTCAGGACAGGTCATGAAACCGTTGAAGGATTTCCCTGCAGTGGTCTGCAGTTTCCTCTTTAGTTTGTCATGCTTCTTGACATTTGGCAGCAGTGGGCAGTTCCAGAGAACCGCTGAGCCTTTTTTTCCCATACAACATTAATCGTATACCATTAATCGTATACCATTAATGTATCTTTGGAGAAAGAAAACCCAAGAGCTTGATTTGTAATGCATCATCTTGTGGGAGCTTTGTATTCCACATGAGTAATGCTCATGTGGCTAGATCTTGGAATTCATGTTCACAGCTGAGTTCAGTATTTATTTTTAGGGTTTGTGTTTTATGCTCAGAATGAGTAATCTTAGGCACTGAGAGCAAATGTAGCAATGTTTCTAAAACATCTTGTAGCTGCCCATTTGTTTCTTGTAGCGGTGGCTGGTTTGTAGAAATAAGGTCTGAATGTTTCTTGCTAGTTTAGTTTATCATCTACAGACATTAGACCAGGGTGGAAAATCAAAAGCTATTAAAAAAGAACTCTTGGAATTTTTAAAACTTACGCTTGCATTGGGGATACCTCTGCCCTGCAAGGGTTAGGTGCTTGTTTTGTCTAGGGGTATCAAAGCAGATGTATTCACCTGATCCTTGGTCCTGCTGGGCTACTAGACCGGTCCCCGCAGCCTCTTCCCTTCTCAGCTTCGGCGGTTCATACATTGTAAGGGCCCATTCACACCGAATCTGTTGTGTTGCGATCGGTTTTTCAACAGCTCCTAATGGAAGGGTACTGAAAAATGAATGGGTGTAAATAAGGCTAGTTCACACCGCTCTGTTATGTTACATTGTGCTGAAAAAAAAGTAGCACATGCACTACTTTTTTTTTCAACATAACGGATCCGGTGCTAACTAGCCCTATTCACACCCATTCATTTTTCGGTGCTTTTCCATTAGCATCTGTTGAAAAACAAATCAGAGTACAACTGCAAGACAATGGACCCTCAGTTGACTTCTGATGTCCTCTAGATTTTGGTGTGAATGCACCCTTATATTTTCTTCATTCAACCCTGCGGGGTGGACAAAGAAATTATAACACATTCCTCCATCCACGCTTAAGAGCGTGGATTGAGGAATTTCCCACTGTCTTCATTGTATTCTGATGGTGGCTGCTGTCAGAATACCTGAGCAAAGTTGGCAGCTCATTGGCTAAGGGCTCTGTTCGTTCGAAGATTTTCCGACAGGCTCCTTTGATCAGCTGATCGAGAAATCCCAGCACAAAGAGTGGCACCCACGTTGCGAATTTTGTCTGGTTCATCAAGAACCCTGCTGAAATTCGTATAGTGTTTGGCCAGCATGAGGACCACTGGCATCATCACGTCTAATGCAGGTCCATTGACTTGCATTCGACGTGAGGATGCTGAGGGACATTCTATCGGCAGAGCGGAGAGAAGTGAGCACTGACGGAAGATCAGGTGAGTATATTTGCTTTATTTGACTCCCCTAAACAAAACAAGCACTTAACCTGTGCAGCGCGGGAGTAGCCCCACTGCATGGGTATGTTTTTGAAATTCCTGGAGTTCTTCTTTAGGACCACTCCACGACTTGATGTACACTTGACCGTTTTAAAGCTTTTCATTAGCATTCAACCAAAGCAATTTGCCTTCAACAGTTTTATCTGATCTCTACTTTCAAATGATCGGGTGATTTGAATCTGGCATGAATACTGAACAAAAAATGCTTTCCGACTGGCACTGACATAGCGTTTGTTGCTTTTCTACTGCAGTTTTCATAAACCAGTTGCTCAGTTCTATGACATAAAGGAAATGAAGGTGGCAGATTTTCATTGAAAGCTAAAGGAATACCCCAAAAACTTCCACCAAGGTTGCCAAGTATATGGTTAGCACTAGAGCTGACAGCTATTTGTATTGATCCAAGGATGTTTTTCATTGTAAAACTACCGGTATTGTATTGGATGTAGACATTTGTTCAGTGACGGTTATAAAAGGAAAAAAAAAAAAGTTTCTGCTTCCTTTTATTTATGCCTGGGACAGGAAGTAAAGGTAGCCATACACTTTACAACCATCGCAAGACGGGCTTCCGATGACCGCAATGCTGAACGGGCAGTGTGCGAGTGTGCACACCGGCCCGTTCGGCATTTGTCTTCCGAGCATTTTTCAAACCAGCCGAAAATCAGAAGATTTTCGGCTGGTTTTCTAGCATGCTCCTTAGACAAAAGACGTGCGACCGTACAGTAGAAACGGTCGCACGTCTTCATTCACACTGCACGATCGCGGGATTTCACGCGATTCTCGTACGAGAATCGTGAAGTGTATGGGCACCTTAAGTGGGATCACATTGCTAGGGACACAGTTATAAAAACCTAGCAGAGGTTCTTACCCTTCCTCACTAAAACTAAAGAAAAAAGTTTGGGCTGGACTTCTAGTTTTAAATAGAAGAACCTTTACTGGTTCTCAGGGTGCTAAGACTATGTTTAAAGCCCATATCTGAGTAAATAAAAAAAAAGTGGCAGATTTTGGTATCGGATCCCCATTGGTCAGTGCTCTCCTCTACTCCCCCTCCATTTTGGCCGGTGGAAAGTCCCTTGACATCAATGGTTCTTAGACCACCAGAGCGCAGGGTAGAAGGGATTGCAGGGATCAGTCTAGAAGCCGCAAGGGAGCCAGCAGGAGCAGGGATCGGGTAAGTAAATCTGCTTTACTCCAGTCCCTAGACAAAAATTAGCATTTAACCCTTACAGTGCGGGGGTTGTTCCACTGCAAGGGTACTTTTTTTGTTTGCCCAGAGATGGGCTTTAATAGGACTCTTGTGGTGAACAAAAGCACAAATCTGGTAATTTCATTCTGTTGGAATTGATTGTGCTGAATATATAGTGGAGAACTCTGACTTTTGGCTTTTTGGTAAAACAACCAGAGAAGGGTTAAAACTCCTGTCACTTTTCTGTTGTACAATTAGGAATTGAATGATAATGTTCCCCTATCACAGAGACAGAGGATACAAGAGAGGAAATCTCCCAAAGTAAAGGGAATTTCCCCCTTTTCTCCAGAATAGATGTCCCCTTGGAAGATTTGCCTTTTGTTTTAGGGCCAACTCTAACATTTTTGATTTCTCGGTGACAATGCTCATCAATACAAATAGAGGGGTGAATATTTCCAATAGGGAAAGAGACGGCAAAAAAAAAAGAGAAAAATACATTGAATTGGGTGTATCACCAGCAGTGTGGATTTCCAGAAGTTTGCTTATTTTTACTGCCAACATTTTCCTAATGATCCACTGACATGTGTACAGTAATGCCGTAGACATGGCCTTGTGTGATTCATAATCTATTTTTTTCCTGCTGGGATTAACCACCGGCTTCTCTTTCAGGCATTTGCACAGTTTGATGCGGAAGGCGATGAGGTGGTAGACTTGGAGAGCATGTTGGAAGCCATAAAGGCCTCTGGTGGTGCCAATCTTCAAGGGGAGCTGAGGCACGTAATCAGACAACTGCAGGCCTGCTCTCTCACACCAGGTAACCTGGATTCTTGAACTCTTTCATAAAATGTTTTGCTTCAAGGTTTTATTATTGAAGGACCAATAAAAATACATTAGAATTTGACTAAAGCAAAGTATATTTCTCTCCCGTTCATTGAAGGACACAGGGAACAGATCGGAGATCATGTACTGTAGGGTAATATCGCCACCTGCAGGAGAAGGACGCTAGGCACAAAAAAACTAAAGACCAATTACAGCCTAGGGGCGGCCCCTGCCGGTGGCCAAACCCCCCACCTACTGAGTCGTTCGCACTTTTGTGCAGGGGGTCACACGTATCGTTCCCCCTGTTCGCTCCCCGTTGCCGCCGTGGGATTTGAATCTGGTGCTTTCAGTGTTGCAGGAATCTCCCTTTGAGCCTCTGCGGGACATTCCGATTCTGACTCTCTCTGAAAAGGTGGCCTTTTTGGTGGCGATCACCTCGATCCGCAGGGTTTCGGAATTGGCGGCTCTCTCTTGCTCGTCCCCGTTGCTGGTCCTGCATCGGGACAAGGTTGTTCTGCGGCCTCGGCCGTCTTTCTTGCCAAAGGTAGTGTTGCAGGCGGCCGTTTGAGGGTATTTTTTTGTTTAGTTGGGTTTGTTGTTTCTGTTGGCCCACCCCTCTTTTTTGGTACTGCTCTGTGACGTCCCTACAGTACATGATCTCCGATCTGTTCCCTGTGTCCTTCAATGAACGGGAGAGAAAATAGGATTTTGGTACTCACCGTAAAATCCTTTTCTCTCCGTTCATTGAAGGACACAGGGCCCGCCCCTCTATGTGGGTGTGTACTCCTTTACTGCTTGTTACTAAACTGGAGACTTCTCAGTAGGTGGGGGGTTTGGCCACCGGCAGGGGCCGCCCCTAGGCTGTAATTGGTCTTTAGTTTTTTTGTGCCTAGCGTCCTTCTCCTGCAGGTGGCGATATTACCCTACAGTACATGATCTCCGATCTGTTCCCTGTGTCCTTCAATGAACGGAGAGAAAAGGATTTTACGGTGAGTACCAAAATCCTATTTTGCGATTAAAAGGAAAAACATTTGAGGGGGTTTCCTAGAAACTGCTTACTTGTCCTGTCATGCTGTAGGACTTTGACAAAATGGCAAGCATATGACAGAACAGTAGGCTGCATAGGAAACTAAAAACAATGTAATGTATTTCCTTTCCAGTAACGTTTGTGTCACCAGGGCAGTAAGTGAGCAAAATCTCTCTATTGTGATGGATACAAAATAGGTGATCTTGGAGGAAAAACCTACTACAGGTGTCATGTGAGGTTCTGACAAGCTTTGGCCATGGGCACTTTGGCAGGTTAAAAAAACTAAGGGAATGGACTGCAGCTGTTTATTGACATGTGGGCCTTCACAGTCTGTATCTGCTAGTGGCCACATCTATAAGCTCTGTATACTGTTGTTGGGTGAAGCTTATAGTAAAAACTATTGATTGCCTTTTGCAGAACAATGAGCAATGAGACATCCTGTCTGCCTTCTGTCCATTTGCCATACTGCCGTGTTCTGATGTAGTCTTCTCATTGATCACAAGTTGGTTTGGCAGAGTGGGGCCAAGTTTTTAGAGGAAAATTCTAGATTTGCATACGACATCAGCTGCCTATATTTGGTTTTCTGTTTTGACATGCACCTGAAAGTGATCTCTGCTGCCTTTTGCTTAGTTTGAATTGACCTGGGTTTTGATAGGAGTACGTTGTTCTCAGCGTTCTTTTGTATCAGTGATGAATTACTATTACAACACAGCACAATATCGCACCTTTTTGTTGTGTTGTTTTTAGGTAAATTTTCCTCACACACTTTGATTTCTCCTTGACCATTCACACTATAGAGACATTTTTGTTATCAACATGTTGCTTTTCACACCCAAATCAGCTTTTTTTTTAGTTGCTTACATTGTGCAGGAGCATATTTTAAATCGTATGGTCCCGTGATTTGTCTATGACAGGGTTTGTTTGTTTTGGCTGTTCTCTTAGTAATGGGATTCCCCGCCCTTACTGATGGTTTAGTAGGAGCAGAATGTTTGCATATTAGAATGTGTTTCCAGGTTTGTGCTTTGTGCTTGTTTTCCCTTTTGTGGCCAGTACTAATCTGCTTTGTCACCCTTCCTAGTTGTCCCCGACTGTTCTCAGACTGAAACTCTGGACAGACCTTTTTAAATGTCTAAATTGCTGAATGTTTTTTTTGTACAGCTTTTTTTTTTTTTTTTAACCTTTGCAACACAGTTTTTATTATTAGGCAGAATTTATATAGCACCCACAGTTTGTGCAGCACTTTGCAAGGTGGGGGAGACAGTACAGTTGCAATACAATTTCAGTACAGTAGGGTTATAATATATTAATATCATCATAGTATAATTGTTAAATATGTCTGTGCATGATTTTGTAACATCTTGTCCTCATAGAGGGTTACTGGCACCATCATGCTATACCTTAAAGCAGGCATGCAGACAGACTAATGTTTTATGGGCCTCTTGCTCCTTCTCTGCTTTGGGGTACACTGCAAAATAAAAAAAAAATGCAGAATCGTTGTCAACTATTCTCATTATTGATTAGTTGATCTCAGCCACCCCAACCCCCAGCGCCCTCCTGCCGCCGCAGCTCTGCTCAGCCATTTCCCAGCCCCCCTTTGGCTGCAACTATGCTCAGGCATTCAATTCCCCCACCCGCTACTCTGCTCATCTGCTCAGCCGCTAAAAACTGCAACCCCCCCAGCCTCCGTCAGCACTGCCGACACGACACTGCCGCTCTCCCCCGCCCTGTATCGGCAGAGCCAGCAGGCAGGGGGGCAGGTCAGGACACAGTGCGGGTTGGAGAGGCTCGGAGGCTGTGGGTGTGTGCAGTAGCCAGTCTGCTATTGGGTATTGCAATTTGAAATAGCCAATAGCAGGCTGGTTATTGCAGCTGCCTGTTGTGAATCGGCAGAGAAGGACCTGAAGGAGAACTTTCTCCTCTAGATCCCTCCTTTGCTGATTGACAGCAGGCAGTGGGCGGGTGCAATAGCCAGCCTGCTATTGGCTATTTCAACTTGCAATAGCCAAAAGCAGGCTGGCTATTGCACACCAACTGTCTGCTGTATTTACATTCCCTGGCTTAATAGACCCCTAATGTCACCTTAAAGAGAACCTCTTACCACCACTGTGCTATCACTTACGGGGCTTGTGAGGCCCCCCGCCCCCATGTGATAGCAATGAAGTTAACAAAAAAAAGTTTAAAATATAAAAGTAAATAAAATAAATGTAAAAATACCCGAAGCAAATGCGCGCATACAAATGGGAACACAAGTCAGGTGCACCCGAGTACAAAAATTACGTATTGTCTGGTCCTGTCCCAGCTGCGAGACGGCTTTGCGCTCTCAGCATATAGTGGGCAATAAACAGCTATATACTGAGTTTTGGGTCAACGGACGACATTAGTATATGTCCTCCTGTGACCCTGAAGACAACTATGGCCAAAAACGGTGAGGCTATAGTTCTCTTTTACATTTTTTTTTTTTAATCCGGTTAGTCGAAAAAATAATCAACTATTCTTATGAAAATAATTGTTAGTTGCAGCCCTACAGCCCTACATTACAGCCAATTAGCATAAAAATGGGTCTTTACTAGGAGTTGGCAGAGGGCTAAGGAATGTCTCCCCACCCATATGTAACAGCACTGGGCTAGCGGCTAATCATCAGCCCTTTCGCATGAGGAAGTAAAGTGAGTCGCGTAGTTCTTCATTCTTGGAAATACCATTTATTTCTTTGATCCTAGCCACTGGGGATTGAAGAAAAGAGCAATATGTGCATCTGGCTCAATAAAATAAACCTGTTGCTTTGCCCTGCAATAGACAGAGCACAGGTTTGCTATAAGACACAGCTCTATCATTTACTCTTTGACTTGAAATATACAATCTGAGTAGGCTTTTTGTAACTTTGAGTTAGATATTGAAAGTAGATGACATTGCCTTGAAAATGCAAGTGGGTATGGCTAACATTGTCCTACTTTCAGACTGATTAATGTGACATCTCTAGCTGGTTTGTTTTTCCATTGCTGCTGCATAGAAAATATGTAATTGACCAAAAGTAGATGAAATTCCTATACGATTGTCATGCTTATGGCTAGTATTCATTTCAGCTAAATCTCTGATTGATTTAACATCTATAAACTGTTATTCATTGGGGTTGCATAGAAAACATGAGGTTTAAGATTGCATAAACTATTAAATATATTAAGAGTTCTAATAAGCTATTGTGTACAAATTGAGGAAGCTGATGTGAGATTTAATATCTGTGGTGGGGTGAGGTAGTGTGGGAGAACAGCAGCATTACCACAGGTGTTATAAGATTAGTAGTGTGATTCTTTCATTCCTCCAGAAGTAATGCTGCACATATATAAAAATTATACCCCTGGCCCAGCATGACTGCTGCAGTGTGCTGACGCATTGCTCCCACAGCATTGTACTGTTCAGTAGTGTGAACTGAACTCATCTAAAGCATGGCAAATTGCCTTGTTTGTAAATTTGGCTCTGCGCTGGGAAAAGCTGCTGGTGCAGCCCCCACACGTCTGGTGTGAACTGGTCCTAAAATGTGGCAATTGGAATGATAAATGTGGTACAAATGTACAGCGAGTCAGTGTGGGAGAGTAGCCGTGTTGCTTTGAGATGGTTCTAATATGAGGTCAGTTGTTTGATTCTTGCACTGCTGGTCAGACGTAGTAACAACAATAAACTAGTCCCTGTGCATTTGTTTACAATAATAAAAAAAATTGTCTAGACAACCACATTGTGATGGCTAGACGACTGGGTCAGAGCAACTCCAAATCTGCAACTTTTACGGGATGTTCCCAGTCTGCAGTGGTCAGGACCTACCAAAAGTGGTCAATGGAAGGAAAATCAGTGAATCGGCGACACAGTCATTGACGAAAGACTCATTGATGCACATATGCAGTGAAGGCTGGCCCATGTAGTCAGATCCAACAGACGAGCTACTGTAGCTCAAATTGCTGAAACAGTTAATGCTGGTTTTAATAGAAAGATGTCTAAACACACAATGCATCACAGTTTGTTAGGTATAGGGCTGTGTAGCCACAACCGGTCAGGGTGCCCATACTGACCCATGTCCACTGCCAAAAGCACCAATAATGGGCATGTGAGCATCAGAACTGGACCATATGGCAATGGAAGAAGGTGGTTTGGTCTGATCACATTTTCTTTTACATCATGTGAATAGCTGGGTGCAGAAGACAAGCTGGCGGAAGCAGCGTGATGCTGTGGGCAATCTTCTGCTGGGAAACCTTGGCTCCTGCCATTTATGTGGATGCTACTTTGACACGTACCACTTACCTAAGCATTGTGGCCGACCAAGTACACCCGTGTATGGAAGCATTTTTTTTTTCTGATGACAGTGGCCTCTTTCAGCAGGATAATGTGCCCTGCCACACTGCAAAAATGGTTCAAGAATGGTTTGAGGAACACAACGAGTTTGAGGTGTTGAATTGGCCTTCAAATTTTCCAGATCTCAATCCAATCGAGCATCTGTGGGATGTGCTGGAAAAACAAATCCTAACCATGGTGGCCCCACCTTACAGGACTTAAAGGATCTCCTACTGATGGATTGGTGCCAGATACTACAGCATACCTTTGGCGGTCTAGTGGAGTCCATGCCTTGACGGGTCATGGTTGTTTTGATAGCAAAAGGGGGACCTACTCAATATTAGGCAGGTGGTCATATTGTTATGACTGATTGGTGGTGTATACCTGTAATAAATTCTACACATATTATAGCAGAAAATCAAAGATAGTTATTGCTTGTGTACATAGATAAGGCATTAGTAAATGGCTCTTTTTTTTTTTCTCTTCCAGGCTTCATCGACATATTCTCCAAGTCAAAGGATCGCCTTAACCTACATTGTTCAAAGACTCTCCGTTTTTTACATCGAAATCGAATTCCAAGTACCGTGATTCCTTATCCTATTCTGGAGTGCTGCAGTAACATTTTCACTATGCGATCCTCAGTGCTGAAAGATTATTTAGAGAAGTTACTCAAAAAAGAGAAAGGTTAGTAGCTAATTTTAGCATATCTAAGTACAGTCAAACACTCTACCTGGGCCATTTCCCTTTTCTTTTTTCATTGGAATGCAAGGCCTCCAGTGTGTTTTTTTTTTTTCATGTTACTTCACCATATTCAAGCAGAAAGAGAGACCTCCACCGCTTCCTCAATCATCACAGTTCCACTGCTTGGATTCGTTGCATACTCCACAGCAAAGCCAATCCAAAAAACAGCTGCACACTGCCAATCCTCACCCAACTCCAAGCTTGTGATCCCCGCCTGATGGTTGCTTCTCTAACAGGCTTAGTTGTAGAGTCTAGAGACTAAGCCTTTCAACATCATCTTAAATGGTTGCTGCGCACGTTTTGTGTGTCCCTTTCCACCTTTGCTTGTCCTAGCATCTCCTATTGCAGTCTCCATCAAATAAATATAGATTCAACATCCCACAGGGTTAGTAGGAAGCCCTCATAATGCCACATTTGCTGCCTGGTTTCAGAAAGCCAACAAGTTGGGTAAGTGTTCATGTAAGGTTTGCTATAACTATACAACCCCCCCCAAAAAAATATAACAGAATTTTTCAGTTAACTTTGCAAATCATTGCACTTTGCTGTGCTTAAAGATGGCTCTATGCAAACATAAAAACACAGATTCATGCAGGAATGTATTTGTTAAAAAAAAAACAGACAAGAAGGGACAGTGCCAGGAGCCAATCAGGCTCTGCTGCATTCACTTCTTTGTCCTCATACAGGCCCTGTATTTAGCCTGGTATTTGCCCAGAGTTTAGCTTTAGAGAGACCCTGATAGTTTTCCCAAGTAGTGCATAGTGATCTGCTTCATATAATCCTCTGCTTAGCAGGACTCTGTCTGGGAGAGGGATTGGCTGGTCTGTGAGCTATTTAACCTCAGCTGCAGTGCTGTTACACTTAGGCCTGTGTAAGGGGTTATTCCTTCAACACCTGGTTCACACCTGGGCGTTTTACAGCGCGTTCCTACGCGCTGTAAAACGCTCAACATCTGCAAACCAATAATCTCCTATGGGCATGGTTCCCACCTGGGCGTTTTACAGCGCGTAGGAACGCGCTGAAAAATGCCCTACGCCCAATGAAGTACAGGAGCTTCTTTGGGGCGTTTTGCCGCGCGTTTCCATTGTTGTTCCCGAGTGTGGATCGGGGTCAACAAAGCGGTAACCCAGAGCCACACTCGGGAATACAGCGTACAGGTCTTACCTTGTCCGCAATCCCCGCTGTGTCCTCCGGCAACTGCCTGAAAATAAGGAAAAAAAAAAAAATCATACCGCCAGTGAAACGCGCGTTTCACTGAATGGAAAAACGTGAAAAAAACGAGCTGAAAAAATACGCTCAGGTATGAACCCAGCCTGACACTTGGAGCTTGCTGACAAGAAGGGAAAGTATAGTGAGCTGACTAATGACTTTAGAGTATTGCAGTTTCTTAATTGTCTAATCAACAGGTTGGGTCCTGAACCAAGCTGTATTGTTGAACTACACTGCAGGTCATGGATAGGGCCATGAACTGTGGCAGGGGTGCCATATCATAAGATTGGCTGAATAGAGTTAGAAATATTATTTTTGGGCAAAACTGCTTAGATCTTTGGTGGTCAAATTAATAGAGAATTCAGGAGCCAGTCTATCCATTCCAGGAGCCAGCTCCATTGACAAGAACTAATGAAAACCTCAAAAGTTAGGCCCCAGCGGTAATTTTTAAGGACCCTGCTCCTGGGATTTGTCCAGCCCTGGCTTAAATATTGCAGCATGTCTTTCAATTGTGTATTTAGTTGCTTGCTTGGCGTTGAGCATTTAAAGACTGAAACATTCAAACATGACCCGTGCTTTGAAGTTGAGATACGAATAGCCTAATGTAAACATTATTATGATTAGCGATTCGGTTCCCAGATTGGTTTTTTTATTTGCCAATATAAATGAATGTAGACTTTCTGTTTTTTGAAGGATCATAGTTTATGAATCTTGATTGCTTGCATCCTTTAAAATGTGACATTCAATCATATTTACATTACCATAATGTAGCCAGTTTAAGTACAGATGGTACTTCTTGGAGTTCAATGGGATAATTCCCCACTGATGACCTCTCATTGGTCCTGATGTGTTCTCTTTTAAGTATTTGTATATCCAAGTAGATAGCTTACTTTGTCTTTTTTTTAATTTGCAGAATGTCCAGCTGTTCCAAGTGGCAGTGATGAGTCGTTAAAGTATAAAACGATAACAAAGTGTTACAGTAGCATAGAAACCTCATCCAACTCAAATGATATAGACAAGATGGCTAATGGAGAAACAACCTCATACTGGCAGTCAGATGGCAGTGCTCGTTCACACTGGATACGGTAAGGAGTATTACCATGATTGGCTTTTGTATACCGAAAATGTGCAGTTACACTTATACAGTTGGCATCCAGGACCCCTTTTCAGTCTTCTACATACCTTTTCCCGATCTAGAGCGATATATTGCCCACCAGATCACAGAGCTACTTTTCAAAAGCGGTGAGTGGCATTTTGCTGGATATGAGGATAGGACTAGAAGGGTGATCTACTGTTTAAGTGTAGCTGTAACCATACTTGAGTATTTTAACTGGCTTGTTATCAGGTGATACCACTGTGAGAATTTTGCTAGAAAGAAAATTAAGACTTTTTGTTTCATTTTCATTAATTTTATTCAATTTTAAAGCAAAATCACATACATATAAACACGTGGAAAACCACTTTAGACTAGCAAGTAACAAGAGTGGTGTAGGTATGTAGCCCTCACAGAGGTAGAACTTGGAAAATCACCCCCCCCCCCCCCCCCCCTCCCCCCCCCGTCTTCCCCCCCCCCTTGCCACCCATCGTTCCTGAGGGTATCTGTTGTCTATGTTAAAAATATAGAAAAAACTTGGCATAATAAAATAAATAATAAACTTGAAGTAACCACATATAAAAAGAGGTGTGACTTGTTCAGAACTAAACAAAGAAACGGAAGGAAAATCGAGGATACAAAGAAAGATGGGAGTACAGACAGAAAAGAGGAATGAGCAAAGAGAGTAAAGGGATGTGAAAATAAGAATGAAGATGCCGGGGGGCCCCCAGGCCTGTGTGTTGTTCAATAACTGTAAGGTTCAAAGAAATGATAAGCTCTCCCCAGGAGAGAGGGTGAGCTCAATCGACCCACAGATTACAGATCCTCATACAGCCCAGCCTGGGATCTTTCCAGGATAGCAGCGTGGAAAAGGCTCTGTAGTAGGCAAAACACGGTGGTCCAAAATCTTTTTTAAGCTTGGGACAGAACCACCAAGTGTGTAAGACCTCTTCTGTAGGTGTACATCCCCGGAAGTACAAAGCAAGCTGTGCAAGGTGAAGGTGTGCTAATTTGAAAGGGACCATGTACTATCCCGTGAGAGTTTTAAATGCAGTTTCTACTGATGTGATGTTAATAGTGCATGTAGCCACTGTTGTCCATATCTGTTGCCAGCATCTGACTTGGTTATTTTAAGGTCTCGTTTCCATTTAGAAACATTTTACTGTAGTATCTGGTACTGTCCCAGATCTTAAGGGTGTGGAGCAAAAGGGGGCTTATAGATATGGGCTTGTAGACATGGTGGTAGCCAGGGCAAAGCACAAAGGGAAACAGGAGAGCAGCGTAAACCCTCCAGTTCAAGCCAAATCGGGGCCTACACAGTCAAAGAAGACCTTTTTTTGTTTCATAATTTCTGTTGTGCTGTAAAGAAATACTGATGGCAACTGACTGTAGCGCCATAATTTTGTTGTAAATAAAAAAACATTTAGCACTTTAAGCCTGCTATCTGAATACATTTTATACAATGAATATGTGAATCCTTACTACCTGAGGATATTAAATGTAGGATATTCTGCTAAAAGCTTTAACAAAGTTTCTAGGACATATCTCCTATTTTCTGATTCTTTTTCCCTGCTGCTTATTCCCCCTCCCACAATTCCGACTGACAAAATAACAGCTTGGTATTGCTATGTATTATAGGGGTCAAAAGGCAGCCACTCATATAAAATGATAGTCTGTAGGTATTATTGAGTAATACAATGTAACAATGTATTACTATACATAGTATAGTAATACATATGTACATCAAAAATATGTTTGGCATGTTTGGCTTGTGATCTACCAGTAGCTCTCAAAGCTGATGCTGGTAGATCACGAAGGGTGTGAATGGCGGCCCCTTTATTCCATTTTGGTATATTTATTTAGCTGTGCACATGATTACCTATTAGCCTGAGTCTGCTGAGCCAAGCCCGCTGACACCTTTCTGGTGGATACTGGTGGTTGGTACTATGTATTACATCAAAGAATATTAGTTTACACAGTCTGTTGCACTACACTGTTTGCAAAATACATCAAGGTGAGCCAGGAGAGAGAGCGGGGGGAGACAGCTAGGGGAGAGAGCAAGGAGAGACAACTGGGAGTGAAAATGAGGAATGACAGCCAGGAGAGCGAGAGAGCGAGGAGAGACAGCCAGGAGAGCTAAGAGAGACAGCCAGGAGAGCTAAGAGAGAAAGCCAGGAGAGAGAGAGAGAGCGACGGAGATTTTTTTTTTCGTTGGTAGATCTCATGTAGATCGTCATTTGAAAAGTAGATCTTAACCCAAATTGTGGGCACCCCTGACTTAAAGGAACCTTAAGCAATAACATTTTATTAATGAAATGGATTCCTATTTAACCCCTTTTTAAAAACTTGGATAACCCTAATCAGCCCAATCCCCTTCTCTACTTAGCTATAATTTTTCTGCTGTTTGTTCTATTTCTGTTTTGTAACCATTCATATTTAATTTTTTTTTTCTTTTCTGTCATTTTTTTCTTCAGTATCGCATTAAAAAAAACTACTACATAGAAAAAAAAAAAGACTTTCTTCCTCGTTTATTAAATGCACAGGAAGTCATTAACCTCTGGATAATATTGCCATTTACCAGAGGAGCGGACACTTGGAATAAAAAAAACTGTAGGTCAGCTCAGGAAACCCTCCCTCATCCCCACCAGCATGTCTCAGTATTTTGTTAGTGTCCAAGGAGGATGGACGTCCTTTCAGACAGACAGGCAGCTAGCATTTTCACAAGAAGATTTCATCCATGGCAGTTCATTATATTTCTCTCAGTAGAGGTTTCTGTTTAAAGCAAGTATACCATGCTTAAAAGAAAGCTGTACTGAGAGAAATACCACAACTGTTTATGGTGACTTCTTGGGTTTTTTACCCAGTGCTGGTTGAGAGTTCATGGATTCACTGACCCAGAAAAACTATCCAAATCAGGAGTTCGTACTTTATGTGCTGCATGATTGTTAAGGGGCAGTGACTCAGAATTTATTAAAGTCAGAGACCGGAAACAAACGTTTTCTGATAAAGGTCAACTATGGAAACGTCTTTATTACTCTTTGTAAAGATTTCCAGAGTTTTTACCTGCTTATGAATCGGCTTTTGTTGTCCCTTTATTTGAGCATACCGTATGTCTTTATTTCTAGCCAAACTATATAACAATATATTTAGTACATTGCGCTGCATGCACATATTTTTCAATGCAATTCTTTTCCATTTCCTCTTCAGGTTAAGAATGAAGCCTGACGTTGCATTGAGACACCTATCCATTGCCGTGTGTGCCGCGGACCAGAGCTACATGCCTCAGCAAGTGGCTGTAGCTGTGGGACGAAACCCCAGCAACCTACAGGAGGTTCGCGAGGTCCACATTCCCAGCCATATTACAGGCTATGTGACATTGCTGGAAAACGCTAACATATGTCAGATGTGTGAGTCAATCCAGTAACTGAAGCACATTGTGCTAATATCAATCTTATACACACGTTTTCAGGCTTTCCTATATATAGATATATATATATATATCTGTCTATATAGAAAACAAACAGGATACAGATATGTACAAGTCATCTTGACAACAAGGAAAACAAGGTTGCAAGTATTGGGCTATTTAGTTAAGATTATTCATTGTAGGTTTCCACTGGTCTCCATGTTAGTTGTCTTTGGGTTACAAGGTTAGTCCATCGAAAATAATTAATTATTATTATAGGATGGAATCTGGTGCAGTCATTCCCTGGCTTCTTAAATCTCTTGTGGACTACAGTGGCGAAATCTCCCCACCATAGTTCCTTGTGTTTCCATGTATCTTAAAATCACATATCAGGGAGTATCTTAATTCAATAGAGAGAATCAGACCCCCCCCAATTATGTATGCGGCAGGTGTGCTAACTGGTAACTTGTTCAGATTACGAAATTGAAAATCAGTGTGCCTGAGACATTATGGAAACCATCATGTGTTTAAAGTATTCTACTTTTGCGTGGACTGCCAGTTTAAGTCTGAGCAGTTAGTTTTAGTGAACATAAACGAGGCAGAAATCAGATTCTTATTCTCTAGTGTTCATTAGGGTGAGCTGCCTCTGTAGTGGTGTGTCACCCAGTTTACTGTAACAGGCTGTCGAGGTTGCTTAAACATACTCCGTATTTGAGATTGATTTGACAGACACAGACTAGTGCCAAATCTGTTCAGTTCATCTTGCATAGGTAAATATGCTTGGATTGAATGCCAGTTGTCGCCTGTTCATTCCTAATATCTTCTGCAGTGGCAGTATTCATAACCGATATTTACAATAGAAATATTAGTTCTACAAGAGTTAATCTAGAGTACCTGTATAAAGCATGTCATTTCAAGTAGAAGTTTTTGGTTTTTTTTGCAGTTTAATTTTTAAGGTGATTGTAGCTATATTAGTGCACTTGTAACACCACAGTTGAGTAATGTACATGAGACCTACTCCTTTTTAATTTTTTATTTTTTTATTTGCACTAACAGTACTTAAAGGAGAACTATGGGGTCAGTGTTTTTCCCCATAGTTCTCCTTAGGGTAACGGGAGGACACAAACTAGCGTCCTCCCGTTTGCTCAGTATACCGCGAGCTACAGCTCGCGGTATACTGAGACGCCGCAGCCGGAGCGGATCCCGACTAATAGACCTGCCAACTTGTCTTTTACTTGGCTACTCATACCCTGCCTGTAACCTATTCTCTACCACATAAGGACAAATTGTTCTTACATTTATACTTCCAGTGTCATTCCATTGGCATAGGATTTCATTTAAAGGGTAGAAATGGAAGGCAGGGTGACATCAAGGCGCTTTATAAAGCAGTGAATATTTGGTTATGGAATGAATTCTTATTCCAAGGTGTCTGTTGCGTGCACTTTTTTTCTCTCCTTTTTTTAATGATAAAAACAGCCTTATTCATGTTATTTTTTTATATATATTTAAAATATAAAGTAAAATACCACAGGTACGAATTATAAAATCATTTTATTAAACATAATTCATGTAAAGTTTAATTCCCCATGTTATTCTTGGCCAGTTGGCTATGGAGTAGTGGTTCAGAACTACTGATGCACGTCTCATAAACTTTCTTAATTAATCCTATTGATATCTGCGGTTTATTGCATTCATATTTAGTATTGGTTTAACGTTTTTAAGTAACTTCATAACATATTTAATTTTTACATTCAAGTTTTAAAACTTGTAGTTGAATAGAGGATATGTGTGATTGAATAACAAAGTATAACTTTTTAATGTTGATTTTCATGCAGATGTACAGATAAACATCAAGCGTTGTCTGAGCGATGGCTGTGATACAAGGATACATGGACTCCGTGCTGTTGGCTACCAGAAGATAAAGTCTGTAGTATCGATATCGGACGCTTCAGCGATATGGTATCTTTCTCTGTTGACATCGCTTGTCACAACTTCCATGGAAACGAATCCAGCACTTGCACAGGCTGTCCAGCAGCACACACAGTATGTAGCATATTTGATAGATCCTGTTATTAGTTTTATTATTACATTTAAAGAACAAAGTACAGCCAGTGACACCAGCCACAAAACATTCCTTCTTTTGAAGATGTAATTGCCACTCATCCTTATAGTTAGAGCCGAAGTGTGGCATTGTAACTGCCACACGTTGACTCTACAGATCAGGAAGTGAGCGAACACATACCTTTTAGATAGGCAGTGCCTGCTGTCAATAGGCCAGCTGGGTGGATCTCAACAGTATTGTCGGGATCCGTCCCAGCTGCGGCACTTTCAGTATACAGCAGCAATAGCCCGCTATATACTGAGCTTTGGGTCACAGGTGGATGTTAGTTTATGTACACCTGTGACCCTAAAGAGAACTATGGGATAAAAAGGTTGCCCCATAGTTCTCGTTTAAGCAAAGGCTGTGCAGAGGGGGCAGATAGTCCACCTCTACTGGGTACCCCAGCTCACACTACTAACAGCTCTGGGGCTGCTTGCAGCATGCCTACTGATGGTGCTGACATCTGCAGCCTGGAATCATTTGCCCTATGCTCCTAGAGTCTGTTCTTGTTGGCTCCATCGGGTCTGGCTGCATTTTTATCCTTTTTGGGCTGAGGTTTCTACTACAATCATACAAGACTGGCCCACATCACCCACATTTTTTTTTCTTTTTTTGGCTTACTCTGGGGCCATAAGCTCACACATGCACCTACTTCCGCAGATTATATATCTGAACTACCTGAGGCCTTAGGTAGTTTCCCTACCTAAGGCCTCAGACTGCTTCTCTACAGTCCCTAACTGCTCAGCTTGTCCCTGAGGAGTCTAAGTCTACTGCCATTACTCACAAACTAATGGAGATTGTTTCAGCTCTTATTGACGCGGTGCAAAGCATGTTTAAATTAGAGAATTGGCCTGTTGCTTCTGTCAGTGCTTTTTCCGCTCATAGGTCCTTTTAGAGCTGCTAAGGCCTCAAAGACTTTCCTGTTGCACCCACTTTTCAGTTTCTATACTCAGATTGCAAACACTTTGATAAGCCTTTTGCTTCCCCTAAGCACTTATTAGTCTTGTGCTCATTTGATGATTTTGTGCAAAAGTGGTCTATTCCCATTGTGGATCCGTTTAGTGTCCTGCCATCACACGGTTGGCCGCTCACAGCACTCTTCTCCCCCGCACTGCTCGCCTTCCTCTGACAGTTTCTCTCCTTCCTGCTGGACGCTGTGCTGTGTCGGGACACAGCAGCGCACTGCGAGGAGGAGAGAAACCAGGCATGCACCGCAATTTTGCCAGGAAGATGGTACTTTCTACATTTTGCCAAAAGTGCAATTTTTGCCGATATGTTTCGGCGGTTGAAATTTCGGTGCATCCCTAAAAAAAAAAAACATGGCAGTACATCAACCTCTGGAGAGAAACAAGTAGTGAAGTCTCTGTAAGAGGGGTAGCTCAGATCCTGTCCTTGCCAGAACTTTGTGTTCCAACCAAGTCTGCCGTGCAATTCCCAGGCATAGACAATTTGGCAGGCATAATTCCTCAGCTGGCAGAGCCCGGACCTGGGGAGGGGAGGTATTCAAAGATCTGCTTCGCAGGTTGGGGGGTGCTGCATGTGAACCTCCTCCTTCTATGTATCTCCCCCTGATTGTTCCCCTGTGACTCATGAAGTTTGAATCTGGTTCATTCTTAAATTGCCATTTGAACCCTTTAGAGACATTCCTTTCTGTAATCTGACCCACAAGGTGGTATCTCTTGTAGCCTTCTCCTCTATGAGGCAAGTATCTGAGCTGGCGGCTTTATCCTTCAAGGATCCATTTGCTGGCAGCTAAGCAAAAAGAACTTCCCTTCATTGAATGGATGTGGTTTTGGCTGTGATTCCCATTTTGCCATCTCAGACCATCTCCATAAGGGTGCACCAGCTTCTTCCACCATCTCTAGGTGGCCAAGGCAGACCATCTTTCAAGCATCATCATGCCAAAGCGCACTCTACTAGATTTCTGAGTGCTTCTTGGACTTTTCAGCATCAAACAACTATTTCCCAGATCGGCAAGCTGCCAACCTGGTCATCTGTTCACATGTTCTATAAGATCTACCTGGTTTGGCTGAGGTTTCGACTTTCTCCAAAGCCAACTTCGGGGGTAAGGTTCTCACAACGTTCCCCAGCTCTTGTTTTTTTTTTTCTTGGGCATGTAAGCGTATGTTTGCTGTGTTGCCCAGACCTCAGTTGTACTGCTTTTGGATGTTCCAAAGGTTGAAGACTTCCTGTGACCCTCAAAGGGCAAGAAAGAAAATAGTATTTTTGTACTTGCCATACGTCCTTTTCCTGGAGTCCATTGGGGGGAATATTTCCCACCGCCCTGTGTTTATGATCATGCAATCTGTACTGCTTTGCTACAAAACTGAGGTATGATGGTAGTGAAAGGGGGTTATACGAGGCTGGCTACAGGTTTTTGTGTTTTGTTTGCCAACATCCAATTATTCTATGTGCAGCAGCATAACCCAATGATAAAATAATTCCCATCTCCTTCGGTGGACTTTTCAGTGAAAAGCTTTTTACAGTGACTACAAAAATCAATTTTTTCTCATGATTTCCTTCATCAGCTGCCGCGTTTAACCTTGCAGGAACAATATAATCTGATTGGTGTCTGTAACAAACATCTTAGTACAGACATATTTTATTTTACATCCGGCTTTTTCTGTATGTGGGAAGCTACAAAGGGTACTTTTCAGGAGGGTTGATTTGGTTTTTATTCAGATGAGGTAGCTATTAATGCTGACCACAGCAAAACAGTTAAATAGATGAAATGTATATATTTTGGAGCTGTCTGACCTGTCAAAGGATTTGTAATTTTGTATTTTTGGTCCTGAGATGTGCACAATTCTGCCACGCAGCACAGTCCTGATATTGCTCTGCTGCATTTAAGTAACACTTACAGGTCATGTCCCTCCTCCAGCCAATTATTGGACGGTGGAAGGAGAAGCCACAGTCTAATTAGCTTATCTCTGTCATTCTGGTCCTTCCTCCTATCAGCATGTTAGAATTTGAGCACTGCAGCACCAACTGACTGATTCCTTTTGCAACTTCTCCCTTTCCCAGTCTGAGTTTTGCTGTACTTTGGGCTTCAAGAGACTGATTCAAAATCACGTCTTTATACTTCTTGCTTTTAACATTTTTATTTTTATGGTATATTAATGAATCAAGAGTTGTATTCCTTTGTGTATTTTATATCTGCCTGGAGTTCAACTTTTAATTTACCTATAGAAATGACATAGCATTTGCTTGATCCAGCTGCCTATGTTTGTAATCTGCAGACATCATGTATACAGACATTACCTCGTGAGGATGCTAATGATTGGCCCAAAATAAGCTTATGCCAGAAAGTACTGCTCCTACCTCTCCCATGCCACACCAAAGGCTAAACCCAAAACTCATCTGTGTGCTTGTGATACGTTTGCCATCTTATTGCTAGTCTTTCTGCGTGCCTTTTGACTTAAACATGTCTGCATTTTGTTTTCATTTTTTTCAAAAAAAATATAAAGTTCTTTTTCCATTTTTAGGAAGGCTTTACAGCACATGTTACCTCTTTCTTTAACGCAAGGAACTGCCGAGTTTCCAAATTTTTTATCACCAAATATTCTGGAAGAGGTGAATAGCTTCCTTATGCGGACTGCAAGGTAACATTGAGTTTTTGACTAACATTAAGCTGAGAAGTCTGTTTTAGCTTTCCTTATAACGTGTTGCTTTTCTTTTGTAGCTGCTGTCCCACACCAGCGGTGGATTTAAATCTCTTGGCATTTGCCTTGGCCAGAGGGAATATTGCTAAAGTGATCACCTCTCTTTGTACCATCATGGACCATTTGGATTTACAGTACAAAGCTGCCTCCCTTATAGATTCAATGGAATCTGTTAGAATTAATCTTCTCTATAAATATGGTAATGTTTTACTCTCAGGATTTTTGAGTTGCCAAAAAGCAAATACTATTTGTATTTTGAAGCTGTGTTTGTTCATATCTTGATTAGCATGTACTTAACATGTGATCATCTGTAATATGCTTAATTTTCATCCTCAATACCTTTTAGGCAGGCTAAATGTAATAACATAATGAATGTGCTGTGCTTCCTCTGGAACAATAAATAAACAAATCTCTATAATAAATATGTGCTAAACAATACATGCAATCAAAGTTTTTACAATTGCTCTTCTTGTAAATATCAATCCTAAATAATATCCCTCTGGAAAGTTCAAGCCTATATTCCGTGTTCAGATGTGCACAAATGTGCAATCACACGTATAAAGTGCTCAAGAATTATCCCAAGTGCACCACACTCTTTATCCTTCCACTGTAAAAGTTCTTTGTACAAAGTCCATACATCGACTCCAATTATCACCCAGGAGCTCACCCCTCTCAGTGGGCCGCTCACCTTATAAGTAGACCTGGGCAGGTCTAAAATCGCTTTATAGGATTTCCAATCAATCTTATTCGAAGGCCGTCTGTCCACAATCGTTTCACAGAAAATGGCGTCAGCGTGTCATCATGACCATATCCAATAAAGTATAAAAACAGCCCATAGCGTAAAACAGCAAAATTAAAAAAACTCCTTTTATTTAAAAACTACTCACATGGGGAAAGTTGACATAAAACTTCAAGTAAAAATGTATGCCCGACAACTCTCTCTCCATGGTTATTCCACCATGTCCACACCAGAACTGTTTTGTCTGCACCAGAAATGCATCCCAAAGTGCAGTGGACTGCACCTGAAAGCCCATTGTAGGTAAAAAAAAAACTCACCGGAACGCTGCAAAAAACGCACTGCCCTGCGTTTGCAAAGCTGCTCTAGATCTGAACATAGCCTAAGGACTGGTTCACACCAGCTCCAGTGCGTTCCAGCACGATTCGCTGCTGGAATGCACTGCAGTGCATCCTGGCTCGGCTCCCTGCGTTTTGGGGCGTTCTGGTCCAGTGCGAGCGGAAAAAATGCACAATTTTTGCCAATCGCACTGGACTTGAACGCAGGCATTGATCTGCCACTCATTCTGGTGGGGGTGATTGCACTGCAGGTGGCTGTGGTGCCATTGACTTTAATGCACTGCCACGCCCCCTCCCGCCCAAGAAAGCAGGGGGGCAGTTTACTATACGATGCAGTGCGTTCCAGCAGCTAACTACACGTCAATGGTATGAACAAGCCCTAAGTCTTTATTACCATAAATTCAGAAACTGAACATTAGGGTTTAGTAAACCTTTTAGTAGTCCTAATACGTCTCATGAACATAAAACTTATGTGCAAATAGCTCTATAAATGATGGTCTGAAGTATTTTGTTTCTATTCTTACTGAAACCGACACATGTAGGCAATGAAAATCAGACTCCAATAACAATTAAAGTTCCCATACACCTTGCAATTATTGGCCACGATCGCGCAATTACTGTACAACTGGTCGATTTTTGTCTTTCATGCAGCCTAGAAAATTTTTGTCGAGTTGGACTAAAATCGCGTGTTCGTACAACAAAAAGCGCACGATGAAAACTGCACATGTGCAAACAAAAATATGGTCGTTTGTTCGAAAATTGGCCAGTTACTGGTGCTGACCTTTTTAAGGTGCCCATACACCTGCCGATTAACGTACGATAATCACGGGTGATCCCGCGATCGTACGATAATCGGCAGGAGTATGGAAGGCTTTTCTACTGTACTGTCGCATGTCTTTTGTCTCCCGAGCACGCTTGAAAATCGAACGATTTTCGGAGGGTTAGTGGCGTTCTAGGGAGACAAATGCCGCACGGGCCGTTGTGCGCAAGCGCACGCTGCCTCTGCGGCATTGGAATCATCGGAAGCCCTCCCCTCATCGTGGGATGGTTGTAAAGTGTATGGCCACCTTTTAGAAATGATTTTACCAAGTCTGGGCTCATTGATTGTAGCAAATACAGATGAAGAAAGCTGCCAGCTGGTAATCCTTAATATAAATTACGTGCTCATCTGCTGCAATGTTTCTGTGAGGTTTCCCTGCTACAATGTAATATGAGCTAGCTTCTGTGTATTGCATACAGCAGTGCATTACTTTATACCTAATAGGATCGCCATTAAAGCTTCATGAAGTGAAAGCCTGTTAAAGGGCTCCAGTCAGTCTGAGAACAGGCCATGTCTGCACACTGCTTAATTGACGAACAATAAATAAGTTGTATATTATTACTATTATGTGTCATGAATAGGTGGACGCAAACTTGTCAGCTCTGAACTTTTTTAAACTTTAACCCAAATGATATCCCTTTTTAAATGCTTTTTTTTGGTGCCAAAATGTGTACATTGTTAATATTTATTCACATCCCACATTTATTCCAGGAAGACCACTGCAATTTTCTCTCATAGCATGTGATGTCAAAGGCAAGGAAGATAAATCTGGACCAGAAAACTTGCTGGTGGAACCATGGACAGGGGATGGTGTGTACAGCACATTTTCACTTGAATGTTCCACTCAGCAATCCATATTTTTTTCTTAGCTGCATGCAGGGTTTCTCTATTAACTTACTCCTTGGGTTTTGATCTTTTATCTGCTGATCAGTTTAGGGCCTCATTTACACGGGCGTGCACATCCCTACTGTGTGCATGCCCGTGGAGAGACCTGCTCCTACATCACTGTGAGTGGACACATCCGTGCAGATCTGGTGCCTACACTTGGACGCAGACTGTCTGTGCGCAATCCCTCCCAGGAGCAGGCCTGTGTGAATGAGGCCTTAAAAGTCAACTTTCAATTTTCATTTTTACCCTTTTTGAAGTCACTAACTTTTTGTTAATCTAAGTACTAGCTTAAATAATTTTACATTCATCTTTTGCTTCATTTTTTCATTGCCTTTATAGAATATATCATAGATGCTTATATAAATTGGAACTATTTTCCTTAAAGTTCTAGCTTTCTAAATATGTATTCTGTTACCTAAAGGCTTCCTGACAGAAACTGGAAAAACCAGAGCTAGTATAATCCTTTCTTCAGGAACTGAGTCAGCCTTCCAAGTTACACAAATGAGGATTAGGGTAAGTGTACCTGGTCATAAGCTGTACTGAAACTGAAAAGCATAAAAAAAATCTGAACTATAAATAGGTCTGTTAAGGGGGTTTAACACCGCGGATGTCAACTGGTTAAAGGTACTTTTGAGTCGGAGCCTCTAAAAAAAAAATCAATAGGAAAAATAAGAGCCTCAAATGGTTTTCTTTTTTTTTAATAGGCACATTCTCTAGATAATGCACACAGTACAATTTCCTGTGGAGGAGAAGGTTCGGTGCTGTTGTATTCTGCCTAATCAGTATAGAACAATTGGATTTCCCAGAGGATTTACCTGTCTGCCTAGATGGCGTCCTCATGGTTGTCCCTATACTTTAGTGGTTATGTACCGCACAATTCAATAGGAATCTCTCCTACAATACCACAGTCTGGCTGCTAATGGATCTATGAGGATACAACCTAAAATGTACTAATATGTGTTGCTCTCAAGTATGGAAAAAATTATTTTGCACATGCTGAAAAACGTAAAAAACTTTAACAGGGCAGTCTGCCTAAAGGTGCCCATACACTGTGCGATTATCGCACGATAGTTGCAGGAAATCCCGTGATTGTACGATAATCGCAAAGTGTATAGAAGGCGTGCAACCGTTTTTACTGTACGGTCGCACGTCTTTTGTCTAAGGAGCATGTTCAAAAACCAGCCGAAAATCTTACGCTTTTCGGCTGGTTTGTGGCATGCTCGGGCTCACACTGCCCCGTTCAGCTTTGCGGTCATCTTTGCGGTCATACGATGATTGCAAGTACGATCTGCCTGTCCAAGATGGGCAGATCGTACGTTTTTTAATTACTTTACATCCATTGCAAGACTAAGGTCTTGCGATGGTTGTAAAGTGTATGGCCACCTTAATACTGCCTTTCATAGATTTAGATATGTGTTGGCCATCCCAATCAGTTACTAACATTTTCTGTGTTCTGTAAACTCCAGCAGCAAGATCTGTGCACCCAAGTCTCAAACTCCAACCACAACCAAATGTGGATAGGGAGTTTGCACTGCTGATGTCCGAGAAATGTATAAAAAGCTGGTGAATGATTGAACCCATCACTATCTATGCTTTAAAAATGCTGATAATAGATTTAATAACTTAGTATACAGCAATTGTTTTCAAGTTTTATATAATTTTGCAATTTTAAGCATGGTCTACTGCTTTGTGCTTTATGTTGTTTTTGTTTTTCTTTGCAGGTCCGAAGAGGGGCCATTGGCGCCAAATGTGGTTTAGTGTTTGCTTACAATTGTTCGGAAAAGTTCCATGCTGAAGAGCATTTTAAAAGATTTGAAAAGTTTGACTCATGGAAATTACCTGAATTCAGACAGCTTGTGAAAGAAAGGTAAGGACTGTGTGTTTCATTTTTTTTTCTTCAATAAAATTTTATAAACTTACAAGGGTTACTTGTATCTAATAATATACTTGCTAAAAACATAGGGAATATACCGTATTTTGCGGTCTATAAGGCGCTCCGGACGACAGGACGCAGGGCTTCTGTGACAGAAATTCTGTCACAGAAGCTGCAGTTAGTGACCGCTGAGACAGGTGGTGCTGTCTCAGTAATCACACCTTCTTCGTCTGCTCAAGGGGCTCTATGGTGAGCTCCTATGGGGGACCGTGACGGGTTACAGTCCGCCAGAGGAGCGGGGGACCTTGAAAACCACGGCGGGGGGTGGACACGATCGCCGCCGCACGATTTAATACAAGGGATCTAATTAGATCCCATGTATTAAACAAGCAGCGGCTTCCACTGTACATTCAGCTCTGCTTGTCAGGAGCAGGGCTGCATGTGCAAAAATAAACTACTCGCCCGGCGCCCGAAACTGCATGTTCCGGGCGTCGGGCGATAGGTATTCGCTCCATAAGACGCAGGCACATTTTCCTCCTCCTTTTGGGGGAAAAAAAGTGTGTCTTATGGAGTGAAAAATACGGTATTTCACTTTCCAGAAGCCTGTGTCACACTCTTGGGGGCTCATATTATGTTGATATTTAAAGCTTACTTCCATTAAAATTGGAAATCACCTTAATATTTGGGGAGTATAGTTCATGAAAATATTTTTCATAAAATCCATTAAAGGAGAACTATGGAGTTAGGGCTTTTCCCCATTGTTCTCCCCCATTGTTCTCCTAAGGGTAACGGGAGGACACAAACTAGCGTCCTCCCGTCACTCAAAGCTCAGTATACCGCAAGCTACAGCTCGCAGTATACGGAGACGTCGCAGCCGGAACGGATCCCGACAATTCTGTCTGGATCCACCCAGCTGCGTGAGTGACAGCTGGCTCTGCCTATCTAGAGGCAGAGCCAGCTGTATCCGCCCCCTCCCCCGGCCGTTTCGCCAGTCAGCGCTGGAGGATCTGAGCTGTGAGTGACAGTCACGGCTCTCTGCAGGGATCGATCGAGAAGTGAGTGAGCGCCGGTATGTGTTCGCTCACTTCCCGATCTACTGAGCCGACCTGTGACAGTCTCATTGTCACAGGTCGGCTCAGATTATGAGGCTAAGTGAAAATCACTTGCCTCATAATTCTCCTTTTAAGAAAACTATTGTTTTTTTGCACTTTGATGTGTTCTAGTGATATTTATAAAAATAAAACTTTGCCTGAATGTAGAAATTAATGCATAGAAACTCTTTCTCCCTGTCAGCTTTGTCTTTGTTTACATCATACCATGTTCTTTGAGACTTAGGCCCCAACCCTGACACTTAATACAAATAATACACACGTGGAGTATCCCCATGCATGTCAGGAGTAGGAGAAGTTATTTTCTTTTTGTTTTTCTGGCAGTGGGTCACGGTTATGGCGAAAAATATACAGCTAACATTTAAAAATATATATTTCAGATTTTGGACCATTTCTTTCTTGATAATAAGAAATAAATCAGGATAGAAGCATTAACATTAACCACTAAATAAAGGCCCAACTTGCCCTGTAAAAAACAAGGTATAATTCACCTGGATACACTTAAGTAGTTGCATATACAGTTTACTAACACATGTACCATGCCAAAGTTGCAAAACTGGGTTCAGGAACTAAGATTTATTTTACCGCCATCATTAAGGGGATACAGATAACCAGTAACCAATGGGTATCTGTAATATGAAGTTCAGCTTTTGAGTTATTATAATAGAGTAGCCTTTCCTCACAGGAATTGCATGATTTTCTTTTTTTTCATTTATTGACTTTTCTCTTCTTGCCGGAGAAGTGTCAGGCTGTAAAGTCTGTTCTGTCTCCTCCCTGATACCACAGTCTATATAATGAAGGTTCTGTCAAGATTACATGGGATAAGACTAAAGGCTCCGTCAGCAGATGGGTCTGCATTATTTAGTAAAATATTAAAAATGTGATGAATGTGAAATGAAACTGTGGTCATGTGCTAAAACTGATTTTTCTATTGTCCATTAGGGAGCACAGCTTGATAATAGTCAACCTAGGGTTATATTGCTGCCTACATTGGAAATGGACACTATTCACATAGAAAAAATACGGCCAGATTCTTGAGACTATAACCCTCCCAATTCACACCTGCTTCATTTTACGTGGTGTTCTTAGGATAATGAATGTTTACTTCTCTTTTGCTATAGGTGACAACCACTATCAGTTTGTGGCCCATTCCTTCAGCCTTACTTTGACCCCAAAATATCCACAAAGGTCCGTGCACCACTTCTTAAGCTGGTCATACACCTATGGATTATCTGCAGATTTTCTATGGTCAGATAGAAAAAGAGCAACAGATTCCCCCTTCTACTCCTTTAGTTTTCTATATGCCTGTTCCTATTTATCCTGTGATCAGTATAACCCTGGGTCACTTATCAAGCTATGTCCCTAAATGAACTCAGAGTAAAGGATTTAACATTGATTGCATTAACAACATATTTTCTCTATTCACAGAGCTAACAGGTCTGGCACAGATATAGGTGAGAGTGACCCCGTAGCCTGGTTTGAGCTGGAAGAGGAATGGGATGAAGTGGACATCAGGATGCAACAATGTAAAACTGCCAAGGTAGGTAAACATACTAGCACCGGGCTAAGCATCTTTAAAAGAGAATTCTTGTTTAAAGAGGACCTGAACCGTTCCCAAAAAAGGCAAGCACAAGGGCAAATGACTAGTCATTGACTGTATTTACTGCAAACCCCCTGCATCTGATTCTTTTCCCCATTACTGAGTTACCAAGCCTTCCTCTGTACTGTTTCTGTGTGGAGGTCACCATCTCGGTAGAGAAGCAAAGCTTTGTGTCTTCATGTCAGAGCAGCCCTCTTTATGACTGGTGATGAAATATTTAAGAAACCACAAGAGGGGTGGTCAGTTGCAATGTTTAAACCTTTAGCATTGGGGGTTACTTACTTGATCACACACTCCTACACTGCTCTCTCTTCCCCAAATGAGGCCGGGACTTTTACAATAAAGATAAAAAAATAGAAGAAAAAAAAAGAATGGGTAGAGGGCAGGCCTCTATTTGACACTGGGACTTTACTTGCACTGTGGGGCGGAAATTTCTCCACCAAACATGACGGTCTATTTCAATGTCTGATGCTGCAACACAGAGAGTGTTTCAGCGCTTAGTGCCCTCTGCTGCTCTGGTGGCCGATGGGTGGCGGACCCAGCCCAGCACACTGTAAGCTGCGTGTGGCTAACGGGCTGTGTATTTGGCAGCACTAATTTAAAGACTGGACTTGGGGAGGGGGAGTGGGACTTGGGGGAACACGGAAATATCCATCACTATTCTCTTTTCTTGTGGTTAAGCTGGGAATTAGTTCGCTGTCTTTGGACAGCATCCAATACTTACTGAATACAGTACTTGCTGAGCACATTATAGTAGGATCCATATACACGGTGTATATTGCTGTCCTTTTTAACTATTTCTTTATTAGGGGTCACAGTTCTAATCGTGAGTTATGATTGTTTGATGAAATGTGGATTTTCTCTTGAATACATTTATCTTTTGAGTGGTCTTTTATGCAGATTCTTTGAGATTAGAAGTGCTACCCTAAATTTACCATGAGGAAAGGAGACATTTGTTTTGCTAAATTGTTTTACTTTCAAGTCATTTAATCATGGGGCTGCAGGGTCAGGCAAAACTGTCCTTAACCTCCTGCCGTCTGCCCGTTGTGAAAAAACGGACGGACAGCAGACTCACATGGGCGGGTTGCCGTCATGAGACGGCTTTCTTTTTCTGCTTGCGCTCGTCCCCGGGCAGAAAAGACCCCCCGTTCTTTACAGCCGTTACCGGCTGTTTGATAGACATACGATCGGCGGCTCTATAGCCTGCCGATCATATGTATGTGCTGCCTGGCTGCGCTCCCCCCCTCAAGTGCCGCTGCTGCTGCCCCCCCTCCTGATAATACATCACTTCCGCATTCACCTGTCAGTCATCTGGCTGCTGTAGCCAGAGAGAAGAAGCTGATGAAGCATATCTCGTCTTCATCAGCTTCTTTTGGGGTCCCCAGGTGACATTAGGGGTCTTAGACCCCTAATGTCTCCATAAAGAGGACCCCACATTTACACACATATAAACGTAAATACGCGTTCAATGTGCCAGCGTGCGAAAATCACAATTGCACTACACATGCTACATATCGCCGCGAACGTCGGAGTGAGAGCAATCATTATAGGCCCATCAATCAATCACTGATTACACTAAACTGATGAGCGGTAAAAGCTTTTAAAGTGTTGCCTATGGCCCATTTTGAGTATTGTAGTTGTTTCGGGTAGAGGTTTTGCACGCGCGCAATTTTAAGGCTTGATACGTTTGGTGTCTATATTTTAGCAAAAAATTTCATAATAAATGTTTTATCATTATATAAAGGGTGAACTCTTTTTTTTTTTTAATTTTCCCTTTTAATATAGTAAAAAATAAAACCCTCAGTGGTGATTAAATACCGCCAAAAGAAAGCTCTATGTGTCCCTAAAAAATTAAATAAAATGAATTTCAGTACAGCTTTGCATGACGGAATAAATGTCAGTCAAAGTACCGCAGCGCTGAATGCTGAAAAATGGCCTGGACAGGAAGGGGGTTTAACACCCCGGACGTCAAGTGGTTAATCTGAATTTTTTTTAAATCTGTTGTTAGCAGCAGGGTAATTTTACCAGCAGTATGTGTGGCCTAGAAAAGGGTTCAAACAGATGTGGCATGAAAACTGCTAGCAAGGGGGAACTTTAGGCTTCTTGTCACATTTTTCAGTTTCTCCTGACCCTGTATGAGAAGGTGGTTTTAACAGAGCTCAAAAGCTTAAGCTGAAATTGAGCTGCAGTTGCAGTGAGACAGTATGCTACTGCTGTGCTCTCTTTATCCTACCCATAGTTCTTAGGGCATCCTTTTGTAATGCATTATCTATTTGTAAAACAAAGAATATTTACATATAGTAAAGCTCAATATATCTAAAAGAAAACACTTTTTGTTGTAATTATTTAAAAAAATTGATAGAAAACATAGTAATGTTTGTTAGAATTTGGTAAGCAATACTCTCTTCTTACTTTGCATGTCATGAATATTTCCATTATTAATGCTGCGCCTCATAGACTGTATTCCGCAGTTGTTTTGCATATTTAACAGTGACTTTTCAATACATTGTGGACAGCAAAACATGTTTGAAACATGGAGGATAATAGGTTGTAAACATCTTCGCAATGTGTGGATAACCGTTTCGTTGTTTTACTCTATTAATCAGTGTCAAGTTTTCTTCTCTAGTATTGGATGGTGAAATTCCTAGGCACGCGGGAAGAAACAGCAGAGCGCTTAGGTGTGCAAGGTATCAACGCTTTTGGTTACCGCAGACCACTGGAGTCAAAGATTGACATGAATGTGATATGTCTGAAGTGCAAGGAGTTGGCAGCCGATAGCGTATGCGGAATAACCCTCATTCTGAAAACTCTGCTATTTGTTCAACAGCTGGCACATGATATGGTATGTCTATGCAATCGCAGGCAGAAAGAGAGCCTTGCCTTACCTGCAGGCCTTTATAAACCAAGATAACTGGTATGAAGCTGCAGTTCCTTAGGAATATGTTAAAGAAGAACTCCGGGGAATATTTATTTTTTATTAACCCTTACAGTTGGTTACCCTCCGCACTGCAAGAGTTAACTGCTCATTTTGTCTAGGTGCTACAAAAAAAAAAAAAAAAGTTATGCTCGCCCAATCCTCCGAGCTGACTTGTTCTTACACCGGTCCCTAGAGCCTCTCTCACCCTCCTCTGCAGCGGAATGAGAATCCTTGTGTCATGTTCTATACACAGTGTATATATACGTGAAAATTCTAAAGAGCATTCCATCTGTGCAGCGGAGGAGGAGACAGGCTTCAGTGACCAGAGAAGCAGGGAGCTGGCTCAGCAGTTTGGGTAAGTATAACTTTTTTTTTAGCACCTAAACAAAAACAAGCAGTTAACCATTGCACTCTGGGAATAGCCCCACTGCAAGGGTTTATACAATTGCTGACCTGGGCATGTTGGGTATCTATTTACTCGTCACAACCTCATCTTTTATATTGTATAATAAAAAGGGTATTATATTGTGGTTTCGGGCACTAAATGTAACTGCATTTTTAACTAAATTTTGGGTTTAATAAAGATGTGCGCTAATATTGTGCAGCATAAACATTTGCAGCTGCCGCCATTTAATTCTACATGGTCTTGGCTTTGAAGTAATTTTCAGGCCTAAAATGTGAGTTATAACATGTGCAAAAAATGAAAAAAGGCCTTGGCAGCGATAGGGTCCTTAAGGGGTAGTCAAAAGTAGAGCAGACAGAATCTGGAGCAGTTACCCATGGTAACGAATCAGCCTCTCTTTCATTTTTAAAGTTTAACTGAACAAACTGAAAAGAGAAGCTGATTGGCTGCCATAGGCTCCAGTTTTCATAAATTGCCCCCATAGTCTTTTGTTCATAAATTTATCAACATGCAAATGTAATTTTGTCGTTCAAGAAATACCTGTTTGGTGAGACGTCCTGGAAGGCTCATGTAAATATCACAACTTTCTGCCTCTGATCATTTTCAAAAGAATGATATGAAAGAACAAATCCTTTGGGATACGTTTTTAGCTTTACCTCCTTCTCCGTGCTGGACACTGGGTGCTTTAGCTGTGCAGTCTGTTGATTGGTTGACTGGTTTCAGACACGGCTAAAGGGAGCCACAAAAATGTTCTTGGACAACAAACTCAGGAACAAAATGACTGGGCCTGTTAGCAGTTGTTTCTGTGTTGCCGACCCTTCGGTTGAGACTGCTTTTGGATGTCCTGACATTATCTGAATTCCTGTGTCCTTTGGACCAGTAATACTGGTAACAAATTGTTGAGTGCGTTTGTCGTTTGTTTTGCTTTGGACCAGTAAGACAATTAGGATTTTTACAATCGCTGTAAAATCCTTTTCTTGAGGTTCATTTTGGGACACGGAAATTGAGATGCGGTCAGGTTATACTACCTCCTACAGGAGGAATGAACACTGGTAAGCAAAAAAAATTGCAGGCCACCACCAGGATTACCCCACTAGCCAGCATGCTAGATGGGTGGGACCTGTGCCCTTCAATGGACTTCAAGAAAATTATTTTACGGCGAGTACAAAACTGCTATTTTGTGGCAGTTTTAGAAAATCTTAGGCTCTGATGAATAGGTCATTTGTAATACAATTTTATAATGGCTTACATATCTATTCAGCGATGTAATATTCTTAACTTTTTGTTTGGTGCAGGAGAAAGAGAATCAATCAAAGCATCGATCTCTTCTTGATTTATCAGGCCTAAATCTGGAGCTGCTCTGGAGGTTTTACAAAAAGCTACAAGATGTGTAAGATTTTGAACATAACAAAACAATGTTGTATACATTTGACATAGTTTTAATGTGTTTATTACTCGTGTAAATGTTTCTTCCTTTTATCTTTCTTTGACAAGGACAGCAAAACTCTAGGCTATATGGCCAGGCCTCTAGGAGGTTGGAGAGTAAGAATGTTTTGATTAGTGTCTTCAAACTACAAGAGTTTTTTCAAGAGTCCATTTTCAAAATGTTTCAGTTTTGACAAATGTATAAGTCAGACTAACTGTACCCTTTTTAGCTTGCAGTTGGTGTTAATTATTGGTTTATTCGTTTAGTAGTTTGGAGTCCCCACACTTCAAGGATCAGCTGAGGATATACCTGACATGTCTCAGTGCTATTAGTCCTAAAGGGGAAAACTTTTTACAGTAATAAAAAGTCCCACAAATACCTGAAAAATGAATTAAAACTTGCGGTCATATAACCACTCCATTCTTCTTTTTTCCCTACTTTCTACTCTGAGTGGACAAAAAGGAGCAGCTCGATGTCGCTGAAGCATGCTCCTGCACTGAAACTCCATGATTCATAAGCCCTTATGTCTCGCACAACTTACTGTATGAATTGCTCATTAGCAGTGTTTAGCAGGTAATTGTTATCCCTGTAGTCTGTAAATCTACAGGTGGTGTAGATCAGGCCTTCTTAAACTTTCTCCACTCGTGACCCCTTTTTGGCCGAGGACTTTAAGGGGCTTTCTCCCCCCAGCGTCTGTCGGCGTCTCTCTCTCCTCTTCTCCCTTCTTCCTCTGCACACATGCTCAGGAAGGTACCAAGTGCACGGGGGGGGGGCACAACCTTAAAAACTACACTACACTGCAAATTATACATTAAACTGAAATAAAACAATCTAGCTTTGTGCACAGACCTCCTCAGCCGCCTGGGCCCCTCACACAAGTACCGGCCATACCCTACTGATGGCGGTCCTGGCCGGTTACTCGGATCGCGACCCCCCCTGTTCACTTGCGGGACCCCATATGGGGTCGCGACTCACACTTTAAGAAGCACTGGTGTAGATCAGCATCAAGTCAGCCATACAGGACAGGAAATCACTATGCAACACTGGCTGTCGCACAACTGGATGTAAACTGAAGCCTATAGAAAACAATTGTTTCTGAGGATTTCAGCATTTACGAAAAGTCATTGATAATTCAGTCACGGATAAGTCATTGACGGAAAATAAAGGACAGCACTCAAGACACACTGTGCTATAACGGATTAATATTCATTTGAAAATGAAGTTCCGTTTTAACCCCTTCGTGACGGGAGACGTACAGTGTACGTCCCGTCACAAAGTGGCTATATGACTGGCCACGTACACTGTACGTGCCGAGTTATATTAGCCTCTGTAATGCTGGTAACTGCTGATTCTCAGCAGTTCCAGTCATTAATTAATGCCTCACTATTGAGACATTCATTAATGAAATAGTTAAGCTTTTTTAAAAGCTTCTTTCTTTCATTAATGAAAGAATGAAGCCTTTACATTCAGATACGGGTTCGCTAAATAGCGATCCCGTATCTGACAGCTGAAGATAGCAGAGAGGTAGCAGTGACTCACCTCTCTGCTATTCGTTTTGACAGCTGGAGAGCCTGGCCCGATGTTAAATGATACATTTCAACCACTAGATACAAAATGTATCTGGAGTGAAATGTATCACTTCTGTATCACTTCTGATCGTCTAGGAACGATCAAAGACCTTTAGTGAGATCTGATTCTGACATGCTGTCAGGATCAGTCTCTAAAGTTATTATTAGCTGTTCCTAAGCTTGGAGCAGCCTGATAATAACTAAAAATGTTAAAAAGTTAATTTATTAAGCAGTCATAGTGATTGCTTGATATAAACTGACAAAAAAAAAATATTTTTTTTTTACACTTATTTTTTTTACAAAGTGTAAAAAAAAAAAAGTGTACAAAAAATTAGGAAAATAAAACGTTTATATATAAATATATTTGTATACTATAATTATTATTAAAAAAATTCTAAAAATAATAATAATAATCAAAACTTGCTGCTGTGGAAGAATCACACAGCAAAAATGTAAAAAGTGTGTCAGTCATTTAGGAACAGAAACTAAAAACTAGCTCAGTCATGAAGGGGTTAAAGCCTTCCTTATCTTCTGGGGAGTGGAGTTCACCACTCTGCCATGCTGTTGTATTAGTCCACCAAGGTGAATTGGTGGAAATGTTACATATTCTTTCCTAGACCAAAATTTTTTTACACCCTGTGTAGTTCAAGTTCCAAGGGTGAGAAACCACCTCCAGACTTCTTTTACTTTGATATGTGATCTTTGGGGATTGCCATATGTTTACATGCCATTTTGAATTAACAGGAAGACATACAAGTTTTTGGCTCTGTCTTAATATCCTCCAATGAATAGTTCAGAGAAACTGTTAATTTTCTGGACCTACTGGTGTAATTAGTCCTTTATGTCCAACCTCTTACAGGAAGGTGTTATGTCTGAGAGATTTGTCCTGTTAGCCAGTGAGCTAAAACATCTGTAGTATGAAAATATGGAGGCTGCCATTGCTGAACTTTCCTTTTGAAAATGATAGTTGCTCGGCTGATATGCTGATCTCATAGCTAGGTTAGTTTGAGTCACTGATATGGGGCAAGAATGCAAATCAAATACTCTGACTTTTCTTTTAGCATCCCTGTTATGGGTAAAAATTGAAAAAAATATTGGTGTGAAATGTAGCATTTTCAGAAGTCAGAAATATAGACCCCATATTTTCATAGTACAAGTTTCAATCAATAGTTGTACCTCTTGTGTAAATATGGGACCAAAAACCTAGGGATTCAAATCGCTGCAATATGAGTTTGAGTCAATGGATTGAACAGCTTTGAGTGCATTTTTTTCTGGACCTATTACTTGCAACATCCATTGGTTTATTCTGCATTCTTAGTATTTCTAATTAATCTCCTTCAGACAAACACATTTATGTAATGTTTTCCAGGGATCTTTATTTAGATTGATTCACATGAATTCTATTTCTTTTTTATTTCTGAAGCCAAAGAGAGGAATGCATCTGTGCACAGACTATCCTGCTTCAATTACTCCAGAGCTGCTTCAGTGTACTGAAAACAGGGAATTCTGCTTCTGATAATCAGAGCCAAGTCCAGTCTGCTCAGGAGCTGTACACACATTTATGTGATGGTAAAAATAAATAAATCACATTTTATAGTATACCTGTCATCCATTCTAATTGGCATTAGCATAGATTTTTAGCATCGTATTGTCCTATGTAACCGTAGCCTGCATGTTCATACCCTTATTTACAATACTATAAATATGAGATTTGTTCATCCATTACAATAGAATAAAACATATAATCATCATTTAGATAATGGTTTCCAATAGATAGAAACAGACTTTTGCTTGTCATGCTGAACTAGATAGAGGTTCTATTTTGTATAGATCATTGTGTACAAAAAGGCAGCAAACCAAAGGCAAAGGTTCTGGTTTTGCTGAGCAAATGCACCAGTTACTAGTCAGTGTATTCCTGTGGCATACATTAACACCAATGTTTAGAAGTTTAACCTCTGGGTTGACAGTACTTAAGGCAGATAGCTCTGACTGTCTTAGAATGGTACTGAGGAGTCAAGGTCAAGAATTTCTAAAAGCTCATCTTTAGATGTGTTGAGCAGATGTTCAAAAAATCCAGCTTTGTCTTAAGGTTCACTGGGAGGTGCAAATCTATAGACGCACAACTCCCTAAAAAGGTTTTAGATAGTAAATATCTAAGGTGTTCTTATAAACTGTACAGCTGTTTATGAACCAATCGCATAGGCTGTGCACTGTTTATACTTAATTTGTATTATATTATTTCAGCTATGGACAATATGGACACATCAACTCTGTATTGCAAAGCACTGAAAGAGGAAATTACAAACACTTTACTGAATGGAGCTGCTACTTTTTTCCCTGATCGCCAGGCTAGGCGTGACCGGCTGTTCTGCTTAATGGTATGAATATGTTTTATTTGATTCTGTATCAAGCAAGCACATGTATTTTTACTGAAGGCAGATCACAAGGTAAATTCCCATTTGTTACTACAGGTAACTGCACATTTTACGCATTTTTTTTTTTTTTTTTTCCCTTTTTAAAGTCACGCTGCAAAAGATAGAATTATTACTGTTCCAGTGGGAGGCTGATGCTCTCTTGCATGTCTACGGCTCCGTAAGCATCTTCTGCATCAGACCCACTTCCATGTGTGTCCGGATGCTTGGTCCAAATCTCTGCACTGTAATTCCACCCACCGGCTTCTATGTCACTACTTTGTCCTGTTGTTCGACATTTTTCCCAATTTTTTTTTTTTTTTTTTGCACTGATCAACAAAAATAGACTTTCATGCCGAAGTGAAAAGTTATTCAAATAAGTTGCATTGAAAAAACACAAAATAATGAATTTCAGAAGTATTTACTGCCTTCATATGACAAACCTTACTCATCTCTGGTGCAGCCAATTCTTTTTGAAAGTCACTTTGTTTGTGAAATGGAGATAACTTGTGTGTAGTCAAGAAGTTTTTTGTATGAATACATGTGTAAATGACCAACTTCTAGTGAGTCATTATTCTGGCATAACATATACCAAGTATATGCACCTTCCCTTCCCCCAAATTGTCCCTTGAGATTGAGAACACAACTATCAAACCCTCCCCCCATGCCAAGGTCCTAAGTGTCATCCTTGACTCGGACCTCACCTTTCTTCCCCACATCCAATCACTATCCAAATCCTGCCGCCTTCAACTTCATAACATCTCCACAATACGCCCCTTCCTCACCAAGGAAACCACAAAATTACTCATCCACTCACTTGTTATATCTCGTCTTGACTATTGCAACTCCCTCCACATTGGCCTACCTATACACAGGCTCCTCCCCCTTCAGTCTATCATGAATGCAGCTGCTAGACCCATTCACCTAACCAATCACTTAGTGTCTGCAACCCCCCTCTGTCAATCGCCCAAAGGATAAAATTCAAAATATTAACAACCACTTACAACGCCATCCACAACTCTGCCCCTGGCTATATCTCAAACCTTGTCTCAAAGTATCACCCTAACTGTCCCCTCCCCTCTTCCAAAGACCTCCTGCTTTCCAGCTCCCTCATTAACTCCTCCCATGCTCGCCAAAAGGACTTCTCCAGAGTCTCTCCCATCCTCTGGAACTCTGTACCCCAACCTGTCCGACTATCTTCCACTCTGACTGCCTTTAGGCGGTCCCTTAAGACTCATGTCTTTAGGGAAGCCTATGCCACCTAAACTAACCACTCAACCATCACGCTCTCAAACAATTCATCCCCACACAGCTACCTCATGTATCACTTGCCCCTCCCTCTTAGATTGCAAGCCCTCATGGGCAGGGCCCTCCTTACCAGCTTGTCTTGAATTGTATTGTGATTTGTAATGTCTTCCTTATATTGTAAAGCACTGCCTAATACCTTTTTGGCGTTATATAAATCCTGTATAATAATAATAATACCAAGTAGACAAAAAATTCAAATGACATTGCATTCACTTACACGAGCACCTAGTTCTTGCAGTGAGCGAAAATGCCATCCAGATCATCAGAAGTCATTGTTGCAAACTGGGCATTACTCTGGGAATTGTTTTTTTAAATCTATTTTTAGGATGTACAGGAATGGACACATTTGTTGGTACCCTTACAGTCTTTGTTCCTCCAGAGAAGTGATTCAATTAAAATCAATTGTATCATGTATACCTGGTATACCATAGATCAGGAGTGCCCATTAGGTAGAACGTGATCTATTCAAGGAGAGACAGCCAGGAGAGACAGCCAGGAGGATGAGCCAGGAGTGAGAGCGACTGAGGTTTTTTTCTCCGTGGCAGATCTCATGTAGCTTGTCATTTGAAAAGTAGTATTTCGCCCGATTCTCGTACGAGAATCGAGCAGCGTATGGGCACCTTTACACCAAAAATTGTGGGCACCCCTGCCATAGAGTAGAGTAAAGCAAAGAAAGTGTGAAAAGAGAATATTTGTTAAAAGATAAAAGTATATATTTGACAGTAAAACATGAAACATTACAAGGGTTTTCTAGGCACTTTAGAAGCTGTGTGTGTGTGTGTGTGTGTGTGTGTGTGTGTGTATTTATTTTCATATTCTTCACTTACCTGATTCATTGCTTATATGTTTTATAGAAAAAGATCACAGAAGAGAAGCAACCACAATCGGTTCTTATCACCTTTCAATCACTGTGTACATATTTCAGGTGAGATCTGATTGAATCTGAGCTACAGGTGTGTATATATATACAGGTGAAACTCGAATAATTAGAATATCGTGCAAAGTTCATTTATTTCACTAATGCAACTTAAAAAGTGAAACTAATATATGAGATAGACTCATTACATGCAAAGCAAGATAATTCAAGCCGTGATTTGTCATAATTGTGATGATTATGGCTTGCAGCTCATGAAAACCCCAAGAACCCCAAATCCACAACCTCAAAAAAGTAGATTACATGCAATCAATAAAACAAAGATTGTACATAGAACAATATCGGACCACTGAAAAGTACAAGCATGCATATGTACTCAGTACTTAGTTTGGGCCCCTTTTGCAGCACTTACTGCAATTACTTTTGCACGATATTCTAATTATTCGAGTTTCATCTGTATATCTATCTATCTATCTATCGATAGATAGATTTTTATTTTTTTTAATCTTGCGATCTCAAAATTAACTCACTAAATTTGAGGTTTGGCTTACATCACAGAGAAAGATTGAACTATTAAGTATAGATTCACTAATCTACTGTAATGTGTTATATTTTTACATCTGCTGCATCCTGAGACACATATGACTATACACCTGAAGTTTTGTGGGGTTTTTTCCCCTTAATTGTAACAAGAATCTGATGGTGTAAAGGGAGGGTTGTGTCTGCTGTGAGATCAACTAATAGTACAGAAAAAGTCAATTTTACTCTTGGCGCTAATGATTACCATCACACAATCCTCCAGGAGTAGTCCTTCTCGTAAAATATCCACAGCTTTTGGAAAGGCTGCTCGTCAAAGAGACTCTGAGGTTCTCATCAGATTCATAGAAGTCAAAAGCAACAAAGCGCCACCTCCTTGTGTGAAATCTTTTTTTTATGTGAATAATAAAAACGGTTATAAATACTCACATTTATAAAATTTCAGCTTCTTTGCTGATTTGTCGCACATGCAACTGCCCATTGAAATAAATGGGCTGACCCGCGACAAACCTGATGAGTGGCAAGTGCATGCCAAGTGTGAACAGGGTCTTATTGTAAGCTACATAATTTCAGTTTTACTATGTTCCCAGTGCTCTTATAAACTATCTTTGTATATATTAAAGCATTTAACTTTTTAACTGTTGTTTTAGTGAACAGGACCCATGTGGACTATTATTTCTACCGGATGCAGCCATTCCCAGTGATTTTCAAATCAGTCAAGTTACCTCAGTCATGGAGAAGCTTCTGTCAATGGCCGTTAGAGAGGTAGCTTTCAGTACATATTCAGTACATATTTATAGCCATCACTTAATAACACTGAGGTGGGAGAGTAACTGAGCTTTGGATGAGCAATAAAAATAATATTTAAATGGCTTTCAGATATACAAGCATGATCCTACCACTAAGTGGTGTATATTGATTATTTTATTAAAGCTGAACTCCTCCAGGAAAAATTAAAAACTAGCAAAACCTCCACATTGCAAGGGTTAAATGCTCATTTTTGTCTAGGTACCTTTTTTAAATGCAGTTTTAGTTGCCTTAGCCCTCGCTCCTCATCTCTGTGTGACTAGTCCCCTAAAGCATCCTCTCTTTAGCACCAGCAGTCCTGCATTATAAGTGAAGATGTCGAGGGTCTGCCCACAACCCAGGGCTTTGGATGGAAAAGGTCATGGGAGCGGGGATAAGGTGAGTATTTCTGTTCTTAACTCCTGTTCTTAATTGTACATTACAGGATACAGGATCTTTGTCGTACGATAATCGTATGCGATCGTTTTTTCGTACGATAATCGAGCAGTGTGAACGGAGACGTGCGACCGTTTCTACTGTACGGTCGCACGTCTTCCGTCAAACCAGCATGTTCGAAAACCAGCCGGGAATCGTACGATTCTCGGCTGGTTAGAACGGTGCTCGGAAGACAAATGCTGAACGGGCCGGTGTGCGCACGCGCACACTGCCCGTTCAGCATTGCGGTCATCGGAAGCCCGCCCCTCAGGGGGGCGGGCTTGCGATGATCGAGAGTGCGATCTGCCTGTCCAAGATAGGCAGATCGTACATTTTTTTAATCCCTTTACAACCATCGCAAGACTAAGGTCTTGCGATGGTTGTACAGTGTATGGCCACCTTTAGAGTTTTGTAGCTGCCTTCAGCAAATGAAACACGGAACAAGCAAATCTGGGCAGCCCAGTATATCCCTGCCACTCCAGCAAGCCTCAGTTTTTGCTAGTGTCATTAGAAGATGATTTCTCTCTGGTCTGAGAAGGCAAACCCCTTTTTTCTTTTCTTTTTTTTTCTTCTCAAGATTCTACTAGCAAGATTTCTTTTTTGCAGCTTTTCGGAATGGTTGACTCCTCGGCTGAGCCTTAGGGGACTGTGCCCAGACCCTGCCAGGAAGATGATGTGGTTCTGGCTTTTAATGTTGCTCCAGGCAGTGGGTCCTGCATTAGGCACTCACCTAGGCACATAATGCAGCATGTTGAGTTAGCTGCAAGGTGCTATACAGGTCCAGGGCTGGGGTCCATTAGCTGGTAGAACCCTGTCCTTGACCCCTTAGGAAATATGCTCACCCGGAGAGCAAAGATCTGGATGGAGCTTGGTCCCTAGCATTCACACTTGGCTGGCTGGGAGGACTGCAAGCTACTGCGGCTTAGCCCTAACTAAGAGCCCAGTGGGCTGCAGCTCCAGTCCCTCATGGGTTAATGAGCAGAGTGATGGCTGTGAATTATTCAGTCACAGCCAGTAGCTTGAACAGTCTGGTCACCCTATTTTAATTTTGGAATTCCGCACCCATTTGTTTTATTTCTTTGTCTTTTCTCTTTGTCATTCCTGAAGGTCCTGGTTGGTGACAACCTGCTTCTTTTTCAACTATTTACAGGTAGTTTAGACAAATCATCATTTGACCGTTAAGCCTTAGGCTCCGTTCACACCAAGGTGTAGCAGGAACGCAGGTCAAACAAAATGCACACCAATGCAAATGAGTTTACTAGTTAATAGCACCCCAAACACAGCCATTCCTGCTATGCCTAGGTGTGATTGGGCCCTAAAGGATATGCTTCCACTAGGAATGCACCGATATATCGGCCGCCAAAACATATCGGCCGAAAATGGCACTTTTGGCATAATGCCGAAAGTGCCATTTTCCTGCCGATACATCGGCGCATCCGTGATTTCTTTCCTCCCCGCTGGACGCTGCTCTATGTCCCAGCGGGGAGAAGAGAAAGTGACAACCGGCCGAGCGCTGCGGTGGAGAGCGCTGTGAGCAGCCAGCGTCTCCTCCCACACCGCTCTGCCGCCTATCACAGTCCGGCAGAGCGGTGTGTGGGCGGAGACAGCCAATGCTGTCACAGGAGGCTGGGCTCTCCTCTCTACACCGCTCGATCAGCCTCCTGTGACAGCGTGTCAGAGAGAAGAGCAAGGTACACACACTCAGCGATCGTACATAATTGAGGACATGGTATGTTAACTATATCCTCAATTATGAATGAATGGGAGTGATCTACGTCACCCCCATTCATTCATAATTGTAGTTATAGTAAACAAACAATGTACTCATGTTATCAATGAACAGGAAAACTCACAAGAGGATTCCTGTTCATTGATAACAGGGGACACAGAAAAAGACATTGAGGACTTTGTGTTCTCAATCTCTTTTTCTATTTTAAAAGGGAAATATCAGGGGTCTGTTTAGACCCCTAATATTTCCCCGAAGCCCCTAAACGTAAAGTAAAAAAAAATATTTAATAAAAAATGAATAAATAAATATAAAAAAATGTAAGTTTATAAAAAATAAAATATTAAAAAAATTTGAAAAATAAAAAACATTTTCGGTATCGGTTTGGGCCTGACATTTTTTTTATTTCGGTTTCGTTTCGGTTTTCAAATTTTCAATTCGGTGCACCTCTAGCTTCCACCCTTTCCTGTTAGGTCAGTTGGTTAGCGCTTTCTAGGCTTTTCAGCATTAGGCATCCATTTCCCAAATTTGCAAGGCTACCACCCAGTCTTCTGATCACACATTTGTTACGTTTTATTAGGTGCATCTTCCGGCCTCATCCGAAGCGAGTTTAAGTTGTAGGTTGCTTCAAGCTGCTCTCACAGTTTTAAAGTACCTTCTCTTGACCTGTTTGTTATGTAGGCCTGATCCTGTGTCCTGTACTACACTATTAAGAAAACAGGATTTTTGTCTCACCTGTAAACTCATTTTCTTGGAGTACTAAAAACTACTTGCCCAGCGCCCGGAACTACATGTCCCGGGCGCCGGGCGATACGAATTCCACACACCTGTACTATTACAGGGCATAGGTTGCTCACCTCTGTTTTCTGAGGCTTGCAACCTTGGACAAAAATGAATATTTAACCTTTGCAGTACGAGGGAGCCCTCCTGCAAAGACAGTTTTAAGCTTTCCCCGGAGTCCAGTTTTAACAGAATGTTAGTATTTCCTTAAGTGGACATTTAGCTATAGAAATGTGAGTGCTGCCCTTGCTAAATTTATTTCTAAAGTAGCAAGCTCATTGATAATTTTTCCACTAATTTAGCACTCGCATGGTAAAATCAGCATCAGAATTGTGGCTGTAGGGTAGTTTGGCTGCAAATCAAAGAGCAGGATCCATGATTTGCATACTGATTAGTAGGCACTGCCAGTGCACGGGCAGGTCACACGTGGAAATGTGATAGTGTGACAGAAAAAGCCCCTAAACGCCTCTTTCACTTAGGTTCTCCATGCCATCCTAACTTAGCTAATAAAAATCTGGAAAGATGGGAGTTTGGGGTTTGCATAGAGAGGCTTGGGAATAGGTTTTGTTTTTATGTAATTAGTGCTTTGCCTCTTAGGAAATGAGCCTAAAATCCACCATGACTGTTTTCCCTGATGTTTTTTTTTATAAAAGGTTTAAAATCCAATTTTTAACAGCTCCTCATTTTAAAACTGTCTTGTTTTATTATAACTGTAAGCATTAGCATTTAATATTTTCCTTAAGCTGAATTTTGCAGTCTTTGTCATTATAAATCTATAGCTTTTATTAAACATCAACATTGTGCTGCTTTTTTTGTGCATACATTTTTTGCGGCATTAAGGTATAGGGATGCATCGATGCCAAGTACTGTACTCGGTACAAGTACATGTACCGATACTTTTCGAACTCCAAGACTAGACTAGAGAAAAATTCAAAAGTTAGGAGGCAGCTGTCATTTGTAAGGAGCACACAGAGCTCCTGAGATTTGTACATCTCTGTTTTTAATGTAGGATTTTGTTTTTATAAAAAAAAAAAGGGATGCACCGATACCAGTTTTGCCATTACAAGTACTGATACTTGCCCAAGTACTTACAAGTATGAGTACTGATACATTTTTGTTTATTGTCATGTGACAGTTTTTCTAAAACAATATGGACTATTGATTTCAGAACAGTGGTGGAGCACCAGAGCCAGGTCTAGGCTGCAACCCTGGTAGTTCTCATGAAAATGCCAAGTATCGGCACTGGTACTCGAAAAGTATCCGTGCATCCCTAGATTATAATATTATTATTATACATAATTATGTTAATGTACGCTATGATCTGTTAATATTATGTTCTTTTTATTGCAGAGTAAAATGCTGGTTCTACATGATTCCCAGGGAGAATGTGGCACAATCCTGCATTCATTGTTTTGGGCAGTGCAAGGCAGTCTTCTGTCTTGGTGCTTTTGTCAGTTAAAGGGAGAAGACCCAACATCCCAGCTATTGGCAAGAGAATTGCTGGTTAATTGTGAGTTTTTGATATAACTTCTAATTATAAAACAGTAAGGTTTTAAGATGCGATTCAGCAACAATATTAAGCTTCATCTTTATTCCACTTAACAGCTAGGAACGCTGCTCCTGTGTGCAGTCCTATCTTTGAGACTATGCTGTCACTGACCGTTCGCAGTCTCATCTAATTATCGGGAACCAGTTAGAATCATTCCCAATAATATGGTCATGATAATAGCTATGACATGGTGATCACATTTGTCAATCTGTGTCCTTAAATGATGATAATCTTCCAAAATGCTGCAGATAAATTTGTAATCATTTCGTTGTTTTTCTAGATATTGACCTTTTCCTGTTAAACACTAAAAACATTCTGGAGAATCTGCTAAGTCAACGTAGTGGGAAGGAAATCACTGAAAAGTTGAGTGATTCTGTATTTGCCATTGCGACACGTCAGCTGGTAAGACTGGTTGTAATCTTATGTATTTGCTTTTTACTGATCTACTCACATCATCTAAAATACTATTTTTCTTTAACAGATGACCTACATGCTGGAGTTTTGTGCTCTTGACATTCCCCATTGTTCATTACTTCAGAGTTTCAGCAGATTAACCAAGTTGTTGAAGAAGCTATGTGGTGATCCTACAGAAAGTGCAAACAGGGTAGTTTATGTATTTTATTACATATTTTCCTTTTTACACAAACATGCATTTATTCTTTAACTCAAACTTGTTCTTTGCCCGTGCACTAGAAAACTGTTTGTCCCATCCCCTCCATATATTCTCCTTACCTTTGCTGCTTTGTTGCTCCATTCAGCCACCAGTAATGGGGAAATAACAACCCTCAGAGCTCCAAGTCACTCTAGATAAAGCTTTACAAAGGACCAAGGATCTTCTTCCTGCTCCTATGTTTCAGTGCTGTTCTGGTGTTTGTCACATGAGAGGAATTGTTCTCAATTACTTGGCTTATGCAACCTGCGTATGCATTAGAAAATATTGCTGCACTATGCACATAAAAACACAAACATACATCAAGGCAGGGTCATACTTTTGTGTTGTACTGCTCAGCACTGAATTATGCAACAGAAAGTGTGTTGAAGTGCCATTCATTTAGAATGGCACCCCAATGCACTAAGGCAGCACACCTGTGGCTGCATCATGCAATAATGCACTACTGTGCATTGCTTTGGAAAAAGTATCTGTTGCCGTTTTAGCTGTGCTCGGGTTTGTAAGCAGCCTATTCAATATGAATGGAATGCCTTACTTGCAGCACAGGTGTGATCCTGTACTAATACAATTTTGTTTCTTGTTCATTGAAAGACACAGGAAATCTTTAACCTTTGGATTATACAGCTGCCTACAGGAGGTTTGGACATTGGCAAACAAAAAACCTCTTGGCCATCCCAGGATAACTTCTCCTACTACCAGCATGCTTCAGTTTTTGGTAGTGTCCTTGGAGGGCAGACATCTTTTCTACACCTCTGATGTGTTAAGGCTAACTTATTTTTTTGTTAGCACTGTTGTATTTTTAATTAGACCTCTTCTCTACATCGCTACTGGAGCATTTAGTAGCGATTTTGTGCAGAAGTGGTCTATTCCCACTGTTGATCTGGCAGTGTCTAGCCTTATCTCCATGACCAAGTGCCACACCTTTCAGAGGGGGTGACACCAAAATGACTATCAGTCATTTTAGTGTCAAGCGGTGCGGGCTGTCACTGACGTTGAGCAAAAAGAAGTCCTATTATTTACATAAAGCTTGTCTGTAAACCTTAGAACACGGAAAACTCTAAAAATTATTTTGAAGGGATGACTATGTGCAGCACACGCTGTAATGTTTGCATGTTTTTCAATAGGTAGAAATGGAAAGTTGGAACCAGGTTCAACAGCCAGTGGTTTTGCAGACCTGGAATATGGAGTCGCCACACAACTATGAAAACAACTGTCGGGACACAACTGTCTTCCTTTGCCCCGGTGCAACATACTTTGAGGTTGAATTTGATGACAAATGTGAAACAGAAAAAAGGTATTAATCCTCATTACTTTTTTATTAAGTCTCTGATTTATTATCTCTGTAATCATTCAGTATACATATTCTTTCTCAGGTATGACTATTTGGAGTTTACAGACGCCAGAGGTGGTAAAACACGGTACGACCACAAAGTTGGTACGGACAAGTGGCCAAAGGTGAGTCATGTGGAAAAGAGCAATATGATAGATGAAGATATCAGATTGGTATACCCTGATGTAAACACCAAGGGTGATGCGGTGTCTGATGAGTAGACTATTATGTGCTGCATTGATAGATCTTTGGGTAAATGTGTTTTGGTTGTAAGCTAGCCATCAGGCTTTATCCGTTTTATCTAACTGTGGCTTCCTTTTGCATTTACTGGTAAACTGTACACCTGCTGGAAACTGTTTGTAAGCTTTAGTGTAGCTCACAATTAAAAGCTAGACATTACAAGTACATGTAACACATTAAGCAAGTACCAGCCTGGATTATACCTTTAGCTAAGTATCAGATGGGGAAAATCACTATAAAATCTTTCATTTTAAGTTGGATTTAAGTCATTTAAGTTACTCACACAGAACTGATGGTATAAGCCTTGCCTATAGGAGAATGGGACTCTGCAAAGAAAGTTACTTTCCAGTGGTGAGCTTTACTGCTTCACCATTCACAACTCTGTGCATTTAGTAGTACAGCAGGGGAGGAAGTGAACCAAAGAGCAACGAACAGAAGATAAAATGAATATGTCAAGGCGGTAGCTGTGCTCCCCGGTTTATTTATCAATAGAAATATTTTATGTTGAGTATAAAATGTCCCCCTTTATCTTTTCATTCATTTCAGGGACAAAGACTAATAGGGAACTAAGTGTTTATAAACAGACCCCAAAATAAACAAACCCCATATAAATAAAACCATATATATATCCACTAATATCAAACAACATAGAACCTCCCTGGAACTCGTACAGATACATAGTATGCACATGATCAGTACAATATCCTTTTTTACAAACATAATTTTCCTTATAATATATTTTTGTAATTTCATGGATAGTCATATTCAACAGAAAGTGATTTAATATTTAAATAAAAAAAAACATGATCCATGTACAGAATGTACATGGATCATGTAACTGTTTTTTTTTTAAAATTTCGGTAATTTTTCCTTAATATAGTAAAAAAATAAAACCCGTAGTGGTGAATAAATACCACCAAAAGAAAGCTCTATCTGTCCCCAAAAAAGGGTATAAAATTCATTTCAGTACAGCGCTGCATGACGGAATAAATGTCAGTTAAAGTAACACCGCGGATGTCAACTGGTTAAATATTAAAAGTTAACGGTTTTTTAATTATTTAGATTTAATGTGATTTCTGTGTCATCATTGAATTAAATCCCTCTGCCATTCATGAGACCTTAAAAGCCCCATCTTCTTTTTCTTGTTGGTATATACTCAATTTAGGGGTGTGGTGTCTCCATTCTTGTGCTGACTCAAAAAATCTTTCATGCAAAGACCCCGTTCATCAATATCTGTGGTGCTGATGTTAACCAAGGACATCTGAGCTTGAGGTTACCATGTCATGTACTCCATGTCATCCAGGCAGTGTGTTTCTGTATAACTTAGTTTACATGGGCTACTACTTATCAGTTTTGAAGAAAATTTAGAACCATAGATTTACTAATAGTATTTTGTAATTCCATATTCTTGTATTTTTCTGCAGAAAGTAACCTTTAAGGCTGGGCCACAACTTCAGTTCTTGTTCTTCTCAGATGGGAGCAACAATGAATGGGGTTTTAAGTTTACTGTGACAGCATTTGGCCTGCCAGATATTGCCCTTTCTTGGAGCTCTGATTTGCAGCTACTTGTTGCACGTTTATTGGGTCGTCTGGCATCAAGGTCTATGGCCATGAAATCCACATGTGGTGAGATTTATTTATTTTTTTCTGTCATATCTTTTGCACGCACACTGCAAGTAAAGCACTATTATTCTATTAGGAGTCTGCAAATCTTCAAATTGATTTCTTTTGTAGCTGATTTTAGATCTATCAAGTGAAAATTATGGAGGCTGCCATTGCTGATCTCTTCTTTTAAGTGACCGTTTTCCTACTTTCATATCGGTGCTCTGACACTTTTTTAGCCAGTGACCCAGAAAAAGAATAGAGCTAAAGAATGCTGATAGTTTTTTGACACTCATTTACTGCATGTTTGTACTAGGTGAGGAACTCAAACTAGTGAAGCCAGAGACAGCTGAACAATTAACATTCTCAGAAGCAGGCCATCAATGGCAGCCCCCATCCATTCTCTGGCACTGGATCAGGGAGCAGGGGTTTGGGTTGCTCTGGGCTTTACATGGCCTGGAAGTCTGCGGACCTGCATTGAATTGAATTAAACTTTACATGACTACAGTAAGAATGTAACAGTGTTTTGGAATATTGCAGCTGCAATTTTAGATCAATAATGCCATCCAGTAGTAAGGGTGACATGAAACAGGAGCTGGGTTTTAAACTTGTAATGGCACCTATATAAAATGCAGCATCTGCACTTTTTAATGGCGATCCTCTAAATGGAAAATAACGACATCATTAATAAGATGTGGAGAAAAAATGTGTTGTTTCCATGGCAACAAATCGCATCAATTCTTAAATTCTCTGATATCTGTTTTGTTGGGGCTATAGATTAGATATAACTAGATACAGTTCTGGAGCAAGGTACCTAGTACCCCTAATAAACAATACTTGAAACCAAACTATTCTTTCTGTAAACTACAAATAGCATCACCCCCCTCCGGTGTAAATGAGATGAACATAGGCAGACATGCTTGAAGTCCAGCCTAGGTGGTAATAATGGCTCCCCTCACAGATCTAGCCTAGTGATCATAGCCACCCAGGGATCACAAGTGTGTTATTTGCAAGATTACCAGGTTAAAAATAGGGAAATAAACTGGAACGAGAACACTAATGTAGCAACCACATCTAAGAACTGGTAAGCTGCAATATATTATATTGTTGTCCTTGGGTTTATTTATAAATAACTGCCATTAATATAGTGTTGTCATTTTACGTACTTTTTTGCATACTGTTCCTTCACATCAGTCCCTGCCCTAAAGGTGCTTACAATCTAAGGCCTCTATCTCATATGCACACATACACAGGCCAATTTAGACAGGAGCCAATTAACCTCCCAGCATTTTGTGTTTAGATACATATCAGGGACATGTAAAAAGCATTCCATGTCTAAATTTTTGGGGGTTTTAGACTTGCTTCGAGCTATTTTTCATTTATATTTTATTCCATGATATTCTAGTAAACTTTGTAAATGATCCTTTACATTCAAAACTACACAGCATTGATCATTTATACATATGCGGTAATTTCAGCAGACCCATGCAATAGTATATTTTATTAATTGCAAATAAAATCTAAATATTAAATTGGGAAGTAGCACAAAGAACTGAAAATAATGCACGGATTAGGCTTTGGTGAACTGTGGCTTGTATATTTTCTTGCTTTATTTGTTCTTGCATACATTGCTAACATATCTGTTTACCTTAGAACTGGGACCTATCGCTGAAATGCCATCTGCAAAGGTCTCATCCGTTGTTAGTTCTCCATTGTGGAAACCTGTGTTCAGACATCAGATGTACACAGAGATTGGCTCGATAACAAAAAAAGAAGGCTGTACAGAGGTATCAAGCATTTTTTTTTTCTGATTTTAAACATTTATAGTATTTTTAGGAATTTTGTTGGACTTTTCTGATGTGCAAGTAAGGGGAGCTACCCTTTTAGTAAACAAAAAACAAACCTTTTGATAACTTAAGCTGGCCATACACCTATAGATTATCTGCAGAGTTTCTATGGTCAGATGGAAAAAGTGCAACAGATTCCTCCATCTACACTAAACTGTGTGGATGGAGGAATCTCCCTCTGGGCCAAGCTTCAGCATCTTGCTAGTCAGCCCTGCTGGCTGTCAAAATACCTGAACAATGCCTGCATCCAATTGGATTGTTCAGATATTTTGATAGCCCGCTTGGCGAACTAGCAAGATACCGAAGCCTGGCCCAGCGGGAGATTCCTCCATCCACACAGTTTAGTGTAGATGGAGGAATCTGTTGCACTTTTTCCATCTGACCATAGAACATCTGCAGATAATCTGTACCAGTATGGCCACCTTAAGAGAACATTTCTTAAGACGCCCTCCCGCTCCTAGCAGACGTCCGTCCGGCCGTTCACAAACGGCCATGGACGGAAGGTGGTTAAAAGGGGTTGGGAAAAAACCTCATTTGACACTGCCCACTTTTAATAAAATTAGGACCAGTATAAAAACCTATCATTTGTTTTAATTTAATCTGTCTTAAAACAGCAACCTGATTAAAACACAGATAAAATTGAATTATCTCAAACAACTTTTACCTAGCACGTTTTTTATATTGGAGCATATTGCACAAAAGGTCAAGCTAAATATTTTGTTCATTGACTTTTAACATTGTATAATGTATAAATTGCTTTTTAAAGGGTTATTTGTTTACTCACCTTTCATGTTGTCCCATGCCAAAATGTTCCATGGTGCAGCAGCTCCTCCATTTTCTATTTGGTTGGATGCTCAGGTTGCTTTTCAGCTGATACTGTCGCTTTTCTAAATGGAGGAGAGGTGGATATTGAGTAATGACTAGCTCTTGTTTTTAAAGGCAATTTTGCCTTGAAAACAAGCGTTTTCATGCGTTCTTTGAGTGTTTTTGTCACCCAAGAGCGAGCCTTCCTCTGCAGAAAAATACTGGGGGACAAAATGGAGGACAGCACAAACTGAAAAACGCGCAACCAAATGCTTGGAAAAATGCTTTAAAAATGTGCGTTGACATGGGTAAAAATGCTCAAAAACGCTTGAAAAACCGCCTGAAACACTGATGCTTAGGTGTGAGTGGAGTCTTATACTGCTTTTCATTATAAATAGACAACATAGCAAACTGTTCAGAATATGAAAAACTGATTTAATTGTTAAAACTACAAGTATTGAAACATTAGTGTTGAGTTGGAACCTAGTACTATGTAAATGCTTTTTTACATTATCATTTTATTTCCAGACTAAGAACTCTCATACAGATGACTGTCGTAACTTTCTGCTTGACTTTGCAAACTCAGATCCTACCCAGGATTACTGTGGCCCTAACTCTGAACTTTTCAAAGGACTGGTGCAAGCAATTAAAAAACAGCCGACAAAGAATGATATAGTGGCTGGTTCTGCGGTTGATCAAGCTGTGAATTGTACCTTTGCTGCTCTCATATACCTTACACCACAGTTATTTGGAAAATTACAAATATATGGTAACTATCAAGATCATTATTTCCTGAAATATATAAATAATCAAATGCTAGACATGTATTGTTGATTGATTAGGGCTGTGCTTCTCAGCTCTGGTTTCAGGTACCCCATGTAACATGAAGGTCAATAGTAGGGAAATATTGGATTTGGGCTGTGTTTTTTAGCGGAAACTATGGACATTTCTTACCCAGAGATCCAACCTTTGAGAGGCACTTTGCATGCCTGATACTCAAATCATTTTTCTGTAATAGAATGCCATATATTGATGGCAGGAAAAGTTTCTGAAATGTTACTGCTGGAGCCTGCATTATGAGCCATTTTTCTTGTTATCACTGGAAACACGCATTCACATGCATCTCAAAAAAACTTGCTAGATGTACTCCTACCTTGAATTGCCTGGTTTCTGAATTTCAATGTAATTTAATTGATCATTTCTGTTGTTTCCATTATGATGGTTGCTTGAAAGCATTGTTATCAGACTGGATTATAAAAAAGATACATCGTGAACTATTTACTTTATGTACACTGGGAAACTATACACAAATTACTTGCTTTCTGAGAGTGTGTAAATGTTTCTTGTATTCTGTAGAGCTCTGTGGTCGGCTTTCCTTAGTACATCATGGGACAGATAGTGATTTGTAGTTATTTACAATGCTCACCAACTCTTGGTGACCTATTTCTGCTCACATGGCAAAGCCACCATCCTATAAATCCCAACTTTACTTTGCCAAGACATCTATTCATGGGACTTACCCTATATAGTAATTTTATTTGTTTAACCCTGCAAGATACAAAGGTCTTGACCAATAACTGTGATTCTAGTTAAATAAAGCAACCGCATACAGTCATGTGCAAAAGTAAGTACACAAATAAATATACTTATGGTATCATAACATTTTCTTTTTAGTTTTGAATGGAGCGAGGAAGACTTGGAACCCTTGTTTAATTCTGAATGCTTTCTCAGGATCCGTTACAGAGATTTCCCCTCACTTTCTGTCCTAGTAACTCAGGATTGACCAAACAGAAAGTCACAAATCTGTAACA